TTTTTTAGTTTTTGGCGGACACAACATCATTGTTTATATGTGGTGCTGAGGATCGAACCCGGGCCGCACGTATGTGAGGCGAGCGAGCTACCGCTTGAGCCACATCCCCAGCCCCAGGCTTGACTCTTATAGTCATTTTCAAGATGGGTCAGAATAGTGACTAGTTTCTTTCCTCAAATTTAAGTAATGAGGCTAAGTATTTAGAACGGGGGATTCAAACTCTTATGGAATGCTGAGCTTCCAGTTCTCTTATACAAGGGCAAAGTTCTTGCTATTCTGTGAGTTTTTTGATGCCCTCTATTTGATTCAGGTAAACCCAAATTTACAGATCATTCCAAGCACAGCTTGTTCCAGACACTAAAAAGGAACAGAAATACATCTGATATGGTCCCCATCTTTAAGGAACTTAGAAATTGAAGCAAATAATGATTATGACAGCAGTTAATACTTTATTTTCATTCTTTCAAGCACTGTTCTACAGTCTTTTATGTATTAACTCTTGATCTTTGAGAAAGTCCAGTGAGGTAAATACTATTATCACCACCATTTTGCAGAAGAGGAAACAGATATAGAGAGGTTAAATAATCTGCCCAGTGTTACAGGTAGTAAATGGCAGGGTCAGGTTGAAACCAAGACAATCTTGCTCTAGAATCTTTGTTCTTAAACATTACTTTACACTGTGGATCAGTAGTTCTAAAGTATAGTCCTTAGATCACCAATATTAACCTCATTTGAAAAACTGTTAGAAATGCACATTCTTAGCCTAATGCAAGGTCCACTAATTACAAACTATGGAGGCAGTTATCAGCAATGAGTGTTTTAACATGCCCTCTGGGTGACTCTGAATGTTGCTATTTGAGAACCTCTGCTGAAGAGAAGTTAGGCATGCTAAATAAGTGTCAGAAATTAATCTCCACATGGGTAAGGACTGGGTGTGATCCATCTCTTAAGCTCCCATATCCAGTATCTGGTGTGAAGAAAGCATCCAACAATATTTGTTTATTTATACTGGGAATTGAACCCAGGGCTTTGTACTTGCTCAAAAAGCAGTCTGCCACTGAGCTACATCCCTAGTCCTTTTTAAATTTTTATTTTGAAACAGGGTTTTGCTAAATTTCTCAGACTGTTCTCAAACCTGTGATTCTTCTGCCTCAACCTCCTAAGTAGCTGAGGTTATAGGCATACATCAGTGTGCCCACGAAAAATACATATGAATGAATACATACAAATGTGTATATGAGAACGTGATGTTTAAGTTGAATCTCTTACTGTCACTATCCTATCAGTGCAACCAAATGGTTGGGGTGGTGGTGGTGGTGGTGGATGCTCCCAGACACTGTGAGATTAGCAAGGAAGTAGGTGTGATATTTCTAGCAAGATGTGATAAGGGTCTGCACCAGCACAAGGAACCATCAGAATGGCAGGGGAATCACGTGAAAGTAGTTCATGAGGTTAAAGATGTCAAGATATCATGAACAGCTTAATAGGGGAAAGGAGCAAGACAGAAATTGTCACTTCTGGTGCAAAGATTCCATTCATTGAGACAGGAAGCACAGGACAAGTACATGTTTGTGGGGAAAGATTTTAAAGGGTTTGGTTTGGACTCCTTAAATCTGATTTTAGTAGAATATCCAGGTGGAGCTGTCCAGCAGACACTTGGAAGTATGAATCTGAGACGTGGCTGGAAATAGATTTGTAAGGATAGTTGGCCGTAAGAATGAATGAGACAGTCAAGGGGAGAACGGAGAATGGAATAACAAGACACCTAGGTTTGGAACCACAGTGAACACATGCTTAATTGGAGCAAAGCAAGAGGGGCCTTTGAAGAAAACTGAAAAGGACTTCAGGAAATGCTGAAGCCAGTAGAAGTCTTTAAAAAAAAAAGAGGCATAGTGTTACAGGTTTGGGATAAATAACTGAAAATTATTCTTTGGATTTTGATACACAAAAAAATCATTTAAGTGACATTGTGAGAGCAAAAGCAAACTGACAGGGAATGAGCTGTAGATAAGAAAGTGGAGGCAGGTGCTTCCCGGGTCGGCAGATAGAGCTCTGTAGCCGCGCCTCGGTTGAGACTGTGACATCTTCCAGGGTAGGCAGGGTCTTTCACATATCTGTGGTCTAAGCGCCCTGCACACGGCCTGGAAGAGAGGGCGGCGTCAGTGAGTTCAGTGACTAGGGACGGAGAAAGACTTCGCGGAGGCAGACTCTTTGCAGCCAAGGCTTGAAGGATGAGGGTGATTGGGAGGAGAGGTGGGAGGCAGGGCCCCTGGGTGATGGGGTGCTGGAGTGTGAGAGGGTCTGGGAATGAGATTGGGTTCCAGTAGTATGCGCGCGGCTCTGCGCGAAGGGTGGCGGGCTGTGTGCAGGTTCGGAGGGACTTGCGTGGGGAAAAGACAGGGCCTGAGGCTGCTGTAGGGGGTGTCGCCACGCCCCGCCCCACTTACGCTGCGGCGCGGTTCCCGGGCGCCTCTACCCAAGCCCTCCCGCCGGGCTGCACGGCGACGGGTGACCGCCAGGGGCCGCTGCCTCCGGTCCCGGTGCCCCCGCCCCTCTCCGTTGGCCTTTGTTGCCGTCGGAGCGCCCCGCTTGACTCGTTCCCGTCCGCCCCCTGGGCCTGGCGGTCGCGCCTGCGCACTGGCAGCTGGCCGGGCGCTCGCAGGGGGAGCTGCTGCAGGCTCGGGGGCGGCGGGGGCAACGGAGGCTGCGGGGGCGGCGGCGCGAGCGGCCGGGCTTGGGGGGGGAGCCGAGCCCGGCCCGGGAGCCCGAGCAGCGAGAGCGCGGGATACGTAGGCCCCTCACGTTGGAGTCCACAGTCTCCGGGCCGCCTGACCTCCGCACGGGTATATGGGATGGAAGCGGGACCCTCGGGAGCAGGTAAGGGCCCCTGGGAGGGGGGAACGGTGCGTGCCCCAAAGACCTGAGGGTTCCTGCGTGAAGAGCATGGTTCCTGACTGAGGGGAGGGCTCCTGAGTGAAAAGAGGGTCTCTCATGGGATGGAGGGCCCAGTTTGAAGGGGGCTATGTGCAGTTCCGGGGGAGAACCATGTGAAGAGCCTTGAGATGGGGCTGTTTGTCCAAGGAGGCTGTATGCAGTCCTGGGCGTGGGAAGTAATCTGGGAGAAGGGCCTGAACGTATGGAAGGACTCCTGGAGAACCCAGGAGGCCTATGGAGAGGCCCGGCAGGTGGCAGGGGGCGGGCTCCAGGTGTCCTGGAGAGGAGGGGGGCGACACAGATGGGCCTGGAGCTCCCTCATGCCGGGGGCGGGGGCTCTGCCTGGTTGGGCTGGGCTAAGCTAATGTCTCTTGGGAGAAGGCGCCAGAGCTGGGCTGTGAGCTCCGCCTCAGCCCGGCCTGACGCGGGGGCGAGGGTCAGGGGGCGGTGGGTGGGGATCCAGCCCTGGGATTTCCCCCCCAGGAGGCTGGGGAGACTGAGAGGTGGCGCTGGAGCATGCGCGGAGGTGGCAGCTGGAAGGGGCTGCCCGACGTGGTGGGGGCGTGGCTGCCTGAATACCCCAACCCCTCCCCCGCCCTGTTTGGCTTAGAAAACGCAGCTCGCTGATGGGGTGCATTCTCTCAGGTTGTACAAAGCAGAGTGCAAGTGGAAATTGTCCCCTCCTCTATCATGGGGGTTCTTATATTTGGCTCTGAAGCCCCTCCGGTCACAATTTGCCAAGACTTGTTTGAAGGAAACTGCCAAAATGCCTTTTTCTGCCACATAAGGATTAAGACTGGGACTGAAGCCATGTTTTGGGGGCAGGATCTCTCTGAAAGTAGGCTTCAGAAAAGGTGTTGGTTACTGAGGGACCAGGTCTACCTAGTTTGCAGGTTTCTGGTCCAATTCTACAGAGATGGGAGTTTTTAAACCAAGGATAATGACCTTTTCCATTTAATTGTTTCCTGAAGTTAGTTAATCACTTTTTATGCCATAACATTTTCATGGCTCCTGTCTTTGGATAGATATCTTTCCTTTTTCATCTCTACTCCCCAGAAGTTGTCAGGGGCATGTCATTAGAACCAAGGTTGCCAAGCTAGTGTGATACAAATGAATCGTTGGGAAGGGGAGAGCTTATAGCATTGCCCTGGTGATTCCCAAGTAATAGCTTTATTTTTCTCTTTCCAGCTAAGAACAGAGGAGAAACTGAGTCAAGGTTTTTCCCCCAGAAGAGAAGTCCTTTGGGGTGGGCTGTGGATTGCTTGAATCTCTCATGTCCTAGGTCTCTTTTACCTTGTGATTCAAGAAGCGATCTGAATCAAGGAATCCTTTAGGACATCTCTCACCACTACCTTTCCTTTTGATTTGAGAATGGATGTAGGATTTCTGTTTGGAAAAATCTTTTTGAGAATGGATGTAGGATTTCTGTTGGAAAAATCTTTTTCAGACTAGACCTAACAATGCCCTCACCCCATCCCTTTCTTGAACTCTCTTAAGTCATTCATTGAGTGATCTATAAGTACTTCATGACTAGTTTCCTCCAAATAAAAAGCCCTGTAGGTCCTAAGGTGGATTCAGAGAGCAGCTGACCTCAGTGCAAACTGCTTCCTCCCTCTCTCCATCCCCCAAACCCTCTCAGTTTACTAGGCTGGAGAGTATTTCTAACAACCTGTGGACTAGAATAAGGTGAATAGGTCACTGAGGTCCAGATGGATTGCTGAGAGCTGGCACTTGTTCCAGAATGCTAATGATTTTGTCCTGATGAATTTCTAATGGACTCTAGAGTGATGAAAATTTTTACTTTTTTTTATCTGTTAAAGGAAAAAACCTGGGGGAGGGGCTAGAACCTGGTGTCTGGAGTCAGCCTTGGAAAATTCAGTCTGAAAGCTGTTGATGGGGGAACCCCATAACTGCCTCCCTTTTAGGCCTAGACTTATTCTCTTGAAAGAACAGCATTTGGAGTGGTGTCTCCAGAAAGTCTGAGGACAAAAATACCCAAAACTAAGGCATTCTTACTTATATCTAGGTGTGCCTTCTATGCAAGGGTGTGTCCGAAGCATAAGCTCTAGACTGGGAACTCCCTGAGGGTAGAGGTAGTATCAGATTTACTTTTAGAATCAGCAGTTGCTTAGTGTATAGTCCCTGACACAGAATACATGTTTATTAATCGAATTGAATCATGTTCAAGTGTGAACATATGGTTAAGCTCATATGTGCATATTTAATTACTTGTGTATACTCATGTGGGTATTTAATTTGTGGGGAAATCCTTTCTGGAGAGATTTGCCTCTTAGTCTTTACTTATCTACCACCTAACATAGCTTTGAGTTCATGTCTTTTAAATAGGCAATCTGGCTCCTGGGAGGTATGTAGGCCTCTGAACTGCAAGGAAGGAATCCTGAGCCAGAGCTTTCAGCTCTGTTACTTTTCCTTCTCTGGGCTGGATAAGGATAGGGGGAGGGGGAGTGTCCTTGCAGGACCCCTCCCTTCTTGCTTTTGTCTGGGGTGTGTGTGTGTGTGTGTGGGGGGGTGGACCCCGCCCCTTTCTCTCTTGGCCGAGCTTTGTCCTCGTGCTGGGGCCCTCATCTGCATCACAAAGTGGCCGTCTGTCCCTGTCTGAGTCTGAAGGGAAGTGTCTCCCTTTCTTAGACTAAAAGCTGGGGGCAGGGTTGGGTAGAGGGGGACTTTGTACAGTTGTGAGGCTTTCAGGGGGATAGAATGGGAGAGAGGTTCTTGTTTCTTTCTACCTTACCTAGTTTGGGTTTGAAGTGGACGTGTGGGCTCCCCTATTTTCCCCAAACCTTCCTTTGAGAGAAGGGTGCTCTAAAGGCAAAGTCTGGTGTGTTGTCTGTCTTGTTTCTAGGAAAGAGAAGACTTTGAGGCGAGTGTCTGCCCCATTCACTGTCATTTCTACCCAGCACCTAGCTCTAGGGCAATGTCTTTCTCCCAAAGCCCCTAACTTTAGGCCTAGGAGTCTAAGGAGGTAAATAGAATCTAAGAACTTGGGGAAGGGGAAAGATGTCTCTTATAATTTTCACCCACAAGGGTGCTCATTTGTCCTGTTCAGCGTTTATGATTGTTTTTGAGCATTTGCAGGTATTTATGTATTTGTGTGCTTGTGTGATTTTTGTGATGTGTCTATGAATATGTTTATGCATTCATTTCACATCTGAATACTGAACATCTCTGTGTGTACATGTGCACACACCAGCACTAGAGATTCGGCCAAGGCAGCTAGCTACAGACCCTGCCTTTGAAGAACTGTTGAGAGTGGTGAGGGATATGTGTATAAAGGTAAACTGTCAAGGTCTAGGTTGTGTTTGAATGTGTATGACAGGATTATGTGTCTTTGTAGGCCTGTGTAAAATTTCTGTCCAGCTCTTTCCAGGGTAGGTGGCCAGGTGTGTATAGTTCCCTATGTAGCTGAGTTCTGAAGGCCTTTTCCCTCCAGGCTGGGCCTCGAATTACCTATCTGCAGAGTGGGGTGGGCTTGACAGGTGGTTAGAGGGAGTCCAACAGCTTAGCTCTGGGAAGTATACCCCTCCCACAAATGATTCTGACCTTTTCCTGACCTCCTAGCTGAAGATACACCCCATCCCCCCAGTCTGTCTGACTGTGAAAGCAGAGCTCTGATAATGGGAAGTTCTGAGCCTGTTTATCCCTCTCTCCTCCCACCTGGGCTGGTCTTATACTGGCAAGAACAATAGTAACTGGGGACAAAGGCTTATCTTAGGCAGTTTCCCTTTTTTCTCCCTTTCCCCCTATGCTAGAAAATAAGACGGAGGGTAGCAATCAGGCTGGCCCTGCACTAGCCCTTTCCCAAGGGCCCCCTCTGTCTTGAAATTGATCCCTTCTGCTGACTGGACCCTCTGTTTGGAAGGATTTGTGGGGCACCGGGAATCTTATGTTCTCTTTCCCAAGAGCCAGTGTCTCCTCCATGGCATTGTAATTGCTGTCTTTCCTTCCCAGCACCTTAGTTGTTGTTTTTTTTTTTTTTTAAGTTTTTTAGCTGAAGCTGGACACATACCTTTATTTTACTTATTTTATGTGGTGCTGAGGATCGAACCCAGTTCCCTGCATGTACTAGGCCAGTAGTCTGTCGCTGAGCCACAACCCCAACCCCTTAGTTCTTTTTTATTTAGTTTTTTTCTTCATTGTTTCCTAAACTGTAACCTTGTTTCCTCCTTCCCTAGCTGCCAACTCTAACCTATCCTGCTCTATCCCCCAACTCCATCTTTCCCTCCTTTCCCTGGCAAATTCAAGCCTTTTTCTGTTGCATCCTCCAGTTCTGGCATTTTCTTCAGCCCTTATTTTATCTTCTCTCCTCTGCTTAATCATCAACCAAAATCCATTTAGCCTTTTCTCTTTTTTTCCCAATTCTGGCCATTTTGTTGCCTTACTTTTTTCTCAAACATTGTCCTTTCCCCCTCAATCTGGCCTTCTTTGGGTCTTTCTCCTGCCTACATTGCAGAAGAACATCAAGATAATGTAGCCAAGCCTAGTGACACACACTTGTTATCTTAGCTTCTTGGGAGGCTGAGGCAGGAGGATCACAAGTTTGAGGCCAGTCTGGGAAACTTAGCTAGAGCCTGAGTGAGGGGGAAAAGTGTCATCTGTGTTCAGGATGGTGTGATGAGTGCATCCAGGTGGCAGAGAATAGGACATTCTTGATCTGCTAGATATCTGGTAGAGATGAGTGTCTTAATCTAGTAGTAGGAAGGAAGGGTTTTGTTACTGAGAGCCAGAGTTAGCCCCTTCACTTAACATGCATTGGGAACTTTGTAAGCATTGTCTTGATGTATTTAAGGTATTTATTTCTCTATCTGAAAGAGGTTTAAAAACTAAAAAATGGGGCTGGGGATGTGGCTCAATCGGTAGCACACTCGCCTGGCATGTGTGTGACCCAGGTTCGATCCTCAGCACCACATACAAACAAAGATGTTGTGTCTGTCGAAAAGTAAAAGATAAATATTAAAAAAAAAACCTAAAAAATGAAAAGGGTGGGGGGACAAAAAAAAAAAAAAGACAACCTAGGAATGATTGAACTTCCTAACCTAGGTTAGGAAGCAGGAAAGAGGCTTCCCGTATATTCTTCTGTTCCTGTTCTGGGAGGCCTTGTGTCTTCTCTGATCAGAATCATTAGGAAATTGCCAAACTCAGTCCTCACTGGCCTTTTTGTCTTATAGCTGCGGGCGCCTACCTGCCCCCCCTGCAGCAGGTATTCCAGGCACCTCGACGGCCTGGCATTGGCACTGTGGGGAAACCAATCAAGCTCTTGGCCAATTACTTTGAGGTGGACATTCCTAAGATCGACGTCTACCACTACGAGGTGGACATCAAGCCGGATAAGTGTCCTCGCAGAGTTAATCGGTAAGCGATGTACATCTTTGCCACCAAGTCCATGAGTCTTTGCTTTCTTGAGTCTCAGAACCTTGAAAGAGGGACCAAAAAGGTAAAAGAAAAATTTAATTGAGGATGGCACCACCAAATCCAAGAAGACATTTTGAGGGAGGGATGCCAGGTAAGGTAAATGCTGAAAAATACTGTTGGATTTGTTTATCAGGAGATAATTGGTAACATTCACCAATGCAGTTTCAGTGAAGTAGTTGGGCTAGTTAATCCAGTAGCTACAGTGAGTAAAGGAATAAGTGGAAGGTAATATGGTAGGAATAATGAGAACAAATGGCTTTTTCCAGATAGCTTGGCAGTGAAATGAGGAGGGACTGTATTGGCTAGAGGAAACCATAGGGGCCAAGTGATTGCCTAGCACATTTCATTATTTGTTGAAATGAATGAATGAGGAGCTTTTAAGAATGAGGCATGGGGTAGTTTATAGATTGAGGTGAAGGAGTTGGTAAAGAACGAGAAGTTAAAAGGTAAAACTCAGGCAGGAGGAATGTGGGTGGGATATTCTTGCTGAGGTAGGAGGATATTGCAGGATATATATTTGGGGGATTAGCCTTCGATAGAAAAAGTAAAATTTTTTTCTAAAATTAATTTATTACTATTTGAAAATGATGTGAACAATATAAAAAAAATTCAAGAACTACAAAACAAGTAATAATAAAAAAATGTCTCCTTATTACTCTGGTTCCCGTAGGCCTTGATTTTTACCTTTCTTGAGTATGTTTCCAGATATTTTTTTATGCATATGCAAGCATATATGCATACATAATATTTTTTAAAAATGAAGAAAATACAGTGTCTTAAATACCTTGTTCTTCATCTTTTATTTTTCCACTAAACCATCTATTTTAGAAAATAGTATGAATTAATACATGCAAATCTGCTGTATTCTTTACATTGTTCTATAGGTATTTCCTTGAACAACTGTATTTAACTTATTTAATCTATTGAGGAACTTTTAGGTTGTCTAAACTTCTGCTACATAAGTGAAACTGTTGAATATTATTATATGTAGATACATGTTTGCACTTAAATGTGAGTGTATCTGTAGAATAGTTTCCTAGGAATAGATTTGCTGGCATAACACATTTTAAATTATTGAGATAGCATCAGCTTTTAAAGATAAGTTGTATCAATGTGCCTGTTCCCCACACCCGCACCAGTCTTGTACATTCGCTTGTTTTTGTTTTTGGCATTCTGATAAGTAGATAATTACATCTTGGTCTAATTTAAAATTATATCTCATTAATGAATGAGGTTGAACAGGTTTTCATATGTTTAAATGGAAGAAGCATTTCAAATGTGCGAGGAAGAGAGGGAAAAAGATGCTTGCATGTAGAAATATGTTTGTGTGTATGTCTGGGAACTCAAGAGTAGCCTTGTCTGCTCTTTTCAGAGATACTAGAGCTGCTTTCTGATGGGAGGCAGGAGTGGGTTCTAGAGTGAGATGATAGTGGAGAAGGGTTGACACAGTCTATGAGGGATGGAAATAATCAGGCACATGAAGAAGATTCCTGTGCAGCCCTGAGCCTAATTGGGATTGAAACCATGTGTTTATAGTTATTCCTAAGGTACCATTCTGAGTGTGTTTTATACAATAGTAAGCAAGCTTTGATTTAGAAAGTAGAGAGATCAGGTGGTTGGATGGGCTGGGATTTTGAAAGAATGATAGACACTATGAGATTTAAGTAGTAGAGGTCAAGAAGGGAAATCAAGGAAGAGATGATAGTGGAGAGAAAACAGCATAATGGGACTAAGTGCATCAGAGAGAGAGAGGTGAGGTTCTACAGTTTATTCCTATTCCAGTTCAGATCTCTTTTTCCCTTATCAGACTGGGATTGGAGATTGGAACACTTGGATTCTGGATAGACCCTGGGATCAAGTCCTTTCCCCTCAAATTTCCTCTTCTCAGAAGGCATTCATATCCACTTTTTCAGGCCCTCGAGAAACAGGATCACCTTGGAATATGTTAGAAATGCAGAATTTCAGGCTGCACTCTAGACCTATTAAATCAGAATGCATTTTAATAAACCTCCAGGTAATGGATAGGAATATTGAAGTTGAAGAAGCATTTCCATAGACAAGATGTTAGGAGTAAATACAATTGATGGGACATTGCCTGACTTTGAATAACTTCCAAAAGCTTGAAGTGGTAGTCTCTCAGCTTCCACAGGCTACTCCTATCCCCCACAGGGAAGTGGTGGAATACATGGTCCAGCATTTCAAGCCTCAGATCTTTGGTGATCGCAAGCCCGTGTATGATGGAAAGAAGAATATTTACACTGTCACAGCACTGCCCATTGGCAACGAACGGGTAAGGTTGGGAGTCAGGCTAGGCCTATGTCAGGGGTCTGGAGTGGAACAGCTCATGTAAGCCCATTTGGAATCTGGAAGTCCAGAGATCCTTTTAGTCTTTTGTGCTGAGAAAATGTGTTTTAGGTTGAGGGATGGGTAGGTGCTTACGTTTATTTGGCCTACTATATGTCTGCCCCCTAAACAGACTGAAATTAGAATTAAAACAGACCTGAAGGACTTCCTACTGGGTTGAGAGGGACAGAAGCACCGAACCAAGGTAGCTGGAAACTGAGGAGCTGGATTTACTCTGGGGTCTTTATTGTGAGCCCCTGTTGACTTAAAGAGCAAATTCTTGGCAGATCTTGGGGGTATTGGGACAAGATAAGGAATGCTGGTCTGTGGGAAAGTGATGTCAGTCCTTCACTCCTTTCTCTCACCCTCCTAAAGGTCGACTTTGAGGTGACAATCCCTGGGGAAGGGAAGGATCGAATTTTTAAGGTCTCCATCAAGTGGCTAGCCATTGTGAGCTGGCGCATGCTGCATGAGGCCCTGGTCAGTGGCCAGATCCCTGTTCCCCTGGAGTCGGTGCAAGCCTTGGATGTGGCCATGAGGCACCTGGCATCCATGAGGTACTGGGTGTAGTTGATATCTGGGCTATAGTGTTGGTAGAACTGCTCTGGAGGGAGGAGGGGAGTGAGCACATATTAAGGTCCCAGAGTGTTCAATGAAAAAAAGTTGAAATCCTACCATGTACCAGCAAGTGTGTGTATACATTTAGGTGGTTTAAATCCCAACCCTGTCCTTAGATGTCTTTGGGTCTCACCCCATCTGTCCCTGCAGGGCAGAGAAAAGGTAGAGACTTTCACAAGGTCAGTCATACAACTAGTAAAGGATCAGAGCTGGCATTAAAGCCCTGGTGTCCTGCCTTCCAGGCCAGGGCTCCTCCGTGCCCAGGATGCCTCACAGGGTGGGGGCCTGTGCCCGAGGGACCAGTTCTCTGCCTGTCCCTGCCAGGTACACCCCTGTGGGCCGCTCCTTCTTCTCACCGCCTGAGGGCTACTACCACCCGCTGGGGGGTGGGCGCGAGGTCTGGTTCGGCTTTCACCAGTCTGTGCGCCCTGCCATGTGGAAGATGATGCTCAACATTGATGGTGAGTGGGGAGAGCTATGGAGCCAGGGGCACCCCAAGTCCAGTCATCATACTCCCAGCCTCATCCCTCCCAGCTCTGCAACCACACTCCTAGTCTAAATCCTATAGCCCTGGCACCCCTTTGTCCCCTATCCCAGTACCCTATAAGGAAGAGGGTATTCATTACAATGCTTGCACTTAGTCTAGAAGACAGAACCTGAGCTGAGCTATCTCTACCCTGTCCCCACAGTCTCAGCCACTGCCTTCTACAAGGCACAGCCAGTGATTGAGTTCATGTGTGAGGTGTTGGACATCAGGAACATAGACGAGCAGCCCAAGCCCCTCACGGACTCTCAGCGTGTTCGCTTTACCAAGGAAATTAAGGGTGAGGACTCAGCCAGGTGGGGAAGGAAAACAGTGCACCTTTTTCTTTAGCCTTAAGAGGAAATTCCCTTGGGAGAGGCCAAGCCTGGGCACATGAGCAACCTATTCCAACTCTGACAAGTAGTGTGTGTATCTCAGGCCTGAAGGTGGAAGTGACCCATTGTGGACAGATGAAGAGGAAATACCGTGTGTGTAATGTTACCCGCCGCCCTGCTAGCCATCAGACGTAAGTTGGCAGGGTTGCTAAGTCATACTCAACTGGTGGAAGAGGGTTGAGATTTCAAACACTCCCCTAAGTCCCCTTCTCCCACTGACCCTGAGAATGAGCCTTAGACTGGCCCTGTTTTTGAAGATAAGCTGTGGGAATTTGGCATCCCTCCTCCAACCTTCCCAGATCCATTGATTATCTCTACAGTAATTTTACCTTCTTGATCTTCTTTCTTTCTTGGGCCTTTACTATAGAGCAGGCATATTCCATTAATTCTAGTTATTGTTCTATAAATATTAGAATCTCTCTCAATTTATTCTTCTTCTTGAAGAAAGCAGTCCAGGCTCCTGGGCTTATCCTTGGGAAAACTATACTTTATTCCAGCTCCTTTCTTGACTGAAAGCTATGCTGGACTCTATCTACTCGGTGTCAGGCTTTATGTTCAATGTTAGAAATATGTAACGATCAGATATGCTCCTGACTGGGGTGAATCATAACCTTCAAATATTTGGCTTTTGCCACGGAGCCCAGCATTGCCTGTTTTCCCAAGAGTGGCAGTGCTCAAAGAAGTTGGGTAGGATGAAGCAATTTCTGAAACTTTTCATGGTTGTGGGTCTACAGAAGTGGGATTGAATGCTGGGTTATGATACCTCCTTTCCTTCCTTCAAACAGGTTTCCCTTGCAGCTGGAAAGTGGACAGACTGTAGAGTGCACAGTGGCACAATATTTCAAGCAGAAATACAACCTTCAGCTCAAGTATCCCCACCTACCTTGCCTGCAAGTTGGCCAAGAACAAAAGCATACCTATCTGCCCCTAGAGGTAAGGCTGCCAAATAATGGCTGGGCTGGGAAACAGGCATTATACCAGAACACTGATTATCAGAGATCTGTTGATTCATTCATAATCTCTCATCCTCATTTTCAAGTTTAGAAAATTGACAAGATGAAGAAGGCATGAGGTAGGTCTGTGAAATAGAGGCCTTTGTCTTACCTGCTGAATTCTTTTCTTATCCCTGGTTCTACCCTTGTGTTCTTTTAAGAGGCTAGGCAGAAGGACAACATATATTTACTGTTTAATAAGTAATTAGTTCAGTTGGGCACAGTGGGACATGCCTGTAATCCCAGTGGCTCAGGAGGCTAAGGCAGGAGTATCACAAGTTCAAGGTCAGCTTGAGCAACTTAGTGAGTTCATAAGTAATTTAGTGAGACCCTATCTTAAAAGTTAAAAAAGGCTGGAGATGGAGATGTAGCTTAGTGGTAAAGCACATTCAAAAAAAAAAAAAGAGTAATCAGCATTCAAACAGATTTTCAGATACTCATGTTATCTTTCATTTTTTTAAGTTGTAGATGAACACAATACCTTTATTTTATTAAATTATTTTTGTGTGGTACTGAGGATTGAACTCGGTGCCTCACAAGTGCTGGGCAAGCACTCTGTCACTGAGGTATAACCCCAGCTCCTGTTATCTTAATTTCTTTTTTCCTGTTCTCCGGAGAGATCCTTCTTGACCTAGTGTACCTTATTCTACAAATGTGCATTATTCTAAATAAAATGGAAATGAATAGTACTAAATTCTGTTTCCCTGGTGGTTAATGTGTTTATTTTGAAAAACCGTGAGCCCTAAGATTTGTCATACTTTTATACTTTGGTAGATGATTGAAATCCTGCAATTAAAGAAAAAATAGTAATGCTATTTAAGTTACAGAATACAGTGCAGAATCCCTGGGCTGTATTTGGTTTAGTATGTGCTAGACAGAATGTCTACTGGAAAACTTCTGCAGTTGGCTTCATTGTTTAGTCCAATATTACTCAGAAAGTAAGGTCAGTACACCAACAGGATAGGCATCACTTGAAAGTTTATTTAAAATAAAGAATCTCTTTCCATAGTACTGAGTCAGAATCTGCCTTTTAACATCCAGAGGGGATTTATAATTATATTAAAGTTGGGAAGCAGTACCCTAGACTATTTTTGGTTTTCATTTATTTTTTAGTTGTAGGTGGACATAGTATCTTTATTTCTTTTTTTTTTTCTTTCTTTTTTTTTTTTTTTTTGGTACTGGAGATTGAACTCAGGGGCACTTGACCACTGAGCCACATCCCAGCCCTATTTTGTATTTTATTTAGAGACAGGGTCTCACTGAGTTGCTTAGTGCCTTGCTTTTGCTGAGGCTGGGTTTGAACTCTCGATCCTCATACCTCAGCCTCCCAAGCCGATGGGATTATAGGCATGTACCACCATGCCTGGCCCTTTATTTCATTTTTATGTGGTTCTGAGGATTGAACCCAGTGCCTCATCAATGCTAGGCAAGCACTCTATCATTGAGTCACAAACCCAACCCCCCTAGGCTATTTTTCATCCTAGTAGCTGGAGTCAGATAGCTCAGATCAAAGCTCAAGCTTTTGTGAGTTTCTAAGATTCTGGAACTAAACCCTGGAAATGAGACTGAAGGGGAAAGAGAAGCCAAAGCCCATAATTCTGACTTGGTTAATAGCTGGTGATGCACAGAAAGTAGGTTGAAAGCATTATGTTCTTTGAAGAATAAATAGAGATCTTTAGGGATAGTTTCAGCTAAATTGATACTGGGTGATAATGTACTGTAAGCTGAAATTTACTAGCAAATTAACATTATTTCTGTTTAAACTATAGTTTTCAAGGTGAATAATTTTAATGATTTATATCTTGGTTTTTTAATTGTTGTTGTATAACAAGTAATTTATTGAGTTCTTACTATGTATTGTGTACTCATTTATATCCTATGAATATAGAGATTAACAAGATAGACAATGTCCCTGCTGTCATGGAACTTACATTCTGAAAGGGGAAGAATAATAAGTTGATAAACAAATAAGATAGTTTCAGATGGTAGTAAGTGGTATAAAAATAATAAAACAAGTTAGGTGGGCTCAGTGATGCATGCATGTACTCCCAGAGACTAGGGACGCCAAGGCAGGAGGATCACAAGTTTGAGACCATGGATGGGGATGTGATTCAGTGGTAGAGTGTTTACCTACCATGCATGAGGTCCTGGGTTTGATCCTCAGCACCCACAATTTAAAAAAAAAAAAAAAAATCTTACATCTGGTGGACTAGGGTTGTTACTCAGTGGTAGAATGCTTGCCTAGCATGTGTGAGGCACTGGATTCAATTCTCAGTACTGCAGATAAATAAATAATAAATTAAATGAAGGTCCATCAGCAACTAAAAAAATTTTTTTAAAAATCTTACATCTGGCATCATCCAGAAAAAAAACAAAAACAAAAATGTGTTTGAAGCCAGCCTCAGCATCTTAGAACCTGTTTCTAAATAAAATAAAACGTAAAGGACTGTTTGTAAAGCACCCTTGGATTCAATCCCCAGCACCAAGGAGTGGAAAAAGGATAATAAAGCAAGTTAAGGGCATAGAAGTAAGGGTGTGAGGGGTTAGGAAACTACTTTAGTTGTTGTTGTCAGGGAAAGCCTTTTTTAGGAACTATTGAACTAAGTCCAAAATTATGCTTACCAACCTTGTAACAGCCTGAGGGTGGGCTTTCAAGGCAAGAGAACTAGCAAGTTCAAAGGCTCTAAAGTAAGGTGGAGTTTGGTTCTCTTTTGAGGGCCAGATAGAAGGCGCTAGTGGTAGGAATGTGTTATATGATGTAATAGGAGATGATGCTGGAGAGAGGTGCAAGTCAAATCATATAAGATATTGTAGGCCAAGGGGGATTTTTTTTTTTTTTAAGAATAGCTTCATCAAGATATGATTAACATACCATAAAATGCATCTTCTTAAAATGTACAATTGGGTGGTTTCAGTGTATTCACAGAGTTATGCAACATTTTACTAATTCCAGCTATTTTCTTTACCCCCAGAAGAAAGTGCACACTCATTAGCAGTCATGCACTATTCTTTTTTTTTTCCCAACAGCCACTGGTAACCACTACTCTATTTTCTGTCCCTGGATATGCCTTCTCTGAACATATCACTTAAGTAGAATCGTACAATATGTGGTCTTTTGTGAATGATTTCTTTTATTTAGTATAATTGTTTCAAGATTCAGCTTGTTATTTTCAAGGTTTATCTGTGTTGTTTCATTGCGTGGATATGTGTCACATGTCACATTTTGTTTCTCCTTCAGTTGATGGACATTGGGTTGTTTCCACTTTTTGACTATTAAACATAAGGGTGCTGTGAACATTCTTTATACATGTTTTTGTGTGTGAACACATGTTTTTGTTTCTCTTGGGTATGTATTTTAAAGAGTGAAATCATTTATAACTGTGTTTAATATCTTGAGCTGCCAAGTGTTTCCAATATGGCTGTGTTGTTTTAGAATCCTGTGAGTAAGGGTTCTAATTTCTGGTTAGTGGAATTTTATTCTAATTAGAATAGGAATCAATTGGAAAGTTGTTTGTTTTTGCAGGATGGGTATCAAACTCAGGGCTTTGTGCATACTAGACAAATGCTCAGCCACTGAATTATATCTTTTTTTTTTTTTTAATTTTTTTATTTATTTGTTTAAGTTCTCGGCAGACACAACATCTTTGTTTGTATGTGGTGCTAAGGATTGAACCCGGGCCGCACGCATGCCAGGCGAGCGCGCTACCGGTTGAGCCACATCCCCAACCCCATTGAGTTACATCTTTAGCCCTGGAAGATTTTTTTTTTCTTAATGTATTTTTTAGTTGTATATGGACACAATACCTTTATTTTTTTTATTTATTTTTATGTGATGCTGAGGATTGAACCCAGTGCCTCATTACATGCTCTGCCTCTGAGCCACAGTCTCAGCCCCAACCCTGGAAGATTTTAAGTAAAAGAAAAACAACATGGATTATTTGAATTCCACAGCTAGAAACTAGTAATAGCCCAGTGCCTCCAATTTAAATGTTCAAATCAAAATTCATTTTCTGCTTTCATTTTTCTATTTCAAATTGTGGTAAAATATATATAATATTAAATTTGCTATTTTAACTATTGAGTATAGAGTTTCATAGCATTAAATATATATACATTATTGTAAAACTGTCATTATTCTCTATCTCCAGAAATTTTTCATCATCTCAAACTGAAACTGTACCCTGTTTAATAACTCTCCATTGCCTTGTCCCTTTAGCTCTGGAAACCACCATTGTGCTTTCTGCATCTATGAATTTGACTACTCAAGACACCTTATATAAGTTGAATCATAATATTTGTCCTCTTATTGGCTTATTTCACTTAACACAATGTCTTTAAGGTTTATGTTGTAGCATGTTAGAATTTCCTCTGCGTAAAGATTGAATAATATTCCTTTGTGTATGCCACATTTTATGTGTTCATCCATTGATGGACACTTGAGTTACCTCTACATTTGGCTACTGTGAGTAAAGCTGCTGTGAAAAAGGAGCACAAATACTTATTCATGTCTCTGCTTTCACTTCTTATGAGTACACACCCAGAAGTAGAATTGCTGGTTCACATGGTAATTCTGTGTTTAATTTCTTTTTTCCTTCCTTCCTTCCTTCCTTTATTCTTCTTTTCTTTCTTTCTGCTAGTGATTGAACCCAGGGCCTTGTGTGTGGGAAGCAAGCAGTATACCGACTGAGCTATATCCCCAGCCCTGTGTTAAATTTCTTGAATCACCATACCATTTTCCATAATGATTGTACCATTTTGCGTTCTCATTAGCAATGGTTCTGGTTTCTTTCCTGCGTTAGTTTTTTGCTAGTGTTAATTCTATAGCACTGGAAACAATGGAGAGTGCTACAACTTTAAAACATCTTTAAGAGAGCAACCGCATAAATTTTAATAATGCTGGATGTCCGTTAAATTGCTGATATTGTGTGTTTGTTAAAATATGGAACTTAAAAGCAGGTGACCTTGGTTTGGTTTTCCCCTCCCATTTTTAGCATGAACTCTGGGAATTAGAATGAGAACCAGCATGTATATCATGTTGGTCTTAGGGAGCATGTTATACATTTCATCTCATCTAAATATTTACAACAACATTATGAAACAGTGTTTTTCCCCATGTCTAAGATTGTAGAAGCTGAGTCTCAGGTTAAGGGACCTGCCAAAGGTAACATCATTTAGAAATACAAAACTGGACTTTAAACCCAAGTCTCTCAAAACCTACTTACCCTTTATTCTGCTATAAACCTCCCGCTCACAGCATCCTGAATATATTGGGAAGTGGCAGTCTTATATATCACTAGACTTTTTTTTTTTTTTTGTCTTCATCATTTTCTCTTGGAGCCAGAACAGATGAATCACGTAGCAGGATGTTCCTCACAACAGTGGTGGACACTGTTGGCTGACAGTGATTTCTGTAGTCTGGGGGCTCAAGAGTTTAAAAGCCCTCTGTAGTCCTCCTCAATTGTTGTAGGATGGAACAACTCACTTCCTGCCACTAGTGGAGACTACTGTAGGAATTAATTTGTTTGAGTTTCAGTATTCAGAAGAGCTCTATGTTATAGTTTATTGAGGGTTTAATGTGCTCTAAAAATGTGCTCAGTCCTTTAAATCCTTTATTTCCTCTCCATACGGCCCTATCAGATTGATATTCTCATTTAATAGACCTGAGCTCTGAGTCTGGATCCCAAGGTTCTAATCACATAATAGTATTATTTTTTGTTTTGAATGTGAATATTTTGTAACATATATCAAGTAAAACTCAAGAGGAGAATACATGTATGTACAAGAGATTCTTTCCCTGGTTGACAGTGAAGGTCTCTTATAGGATGGATTGAACTCAAGCCAGAGCTGCCTGTCCTTTTCATTTCCTCAGGTCTGTAACATTGTGGCTGGGCAGCGCTGCATAAAGAAGCTGACTGACAACCAGACTTCAACCATGATAAAGGCTACAGCTAGGTCAGCCCCAGACAGACAGGAGGAGATAAGTCGCCTGGTCAGTGGGGTTGCAGAGAAATGCATGCTCATTTACTCAGTTATTGGGACCCTTGGTAGCATAGATGTTTTAATGCCCCAAAAGAACCTCCTTCAAGAGAACCCAAGTTTGGATTTGGTGCTGGGGACCCCACAGGGCTGTTCTTGCTTCTTGACACTATAGCTATTTTGATTTTCCCCTCCTGATAACTTTACTGTTGTCCACTGCTGCTTCCTTCATTTTTTATTCCTCCTCCCACCTTACCTTTTAGGGCTATTTCTTGCCAACTTCAGCTTCTCTTCAGGGCTCTCTCCTTGGGACCCAGAGGGTGAGTTACGGTATTACCAAGCTGCTCCTAAGATGTCCTTCTTTGCCTGCAGATGAAGAATGCCAGCTACAACCTAGATCCCTACATCCAGGAATTTGGAATCAAAGTGAAAGATGACATGACGGAGGTGACAGGGCGAGTGCTGCCGGCGCCCATCTTGCAGTACGGCGGCCGGGTGAGCAGGGTCAGGGCCACACAACATCTCTGGGGCATATGTGGGTGGTTGGGTTGTTTAACCAGGGGCTTTTGGTCCCTACCCACTTGGTTCTACTGAGACTCACCTGGGCGCCCCCCTCTGCCTATTCGCAGAACCGGGCCATTGCCACACCCAATCAAGGTGTTTGGGACATGCGGGGGAAACAGTTCTACAATGGGATTGAGATCAAAGTCTGGGCCATCGCCTGCTTCGCACCCCAAAAACAGTGTCGAGAAGAGGTGCTCAAGTAAGGAGGGTTGGTATGTGGGGTTGAAAGGGTGGGAAGAAACCCAGAGCTACTGTTCCCTGCTGCCCAGGGATCAAGATGGATCAATCTGTTCTTTCTGTCTTGTCTCTGCCTGCCTTGTCCTTTCTGGCTGAGACTTCTTCTTTTTCCTTTTTTGTCCATCTGTGGTTAGGAGACTTCAATAAGGAGCCGTGTCTGTACCAGAGATGATGATTTTAGGATATGAGTCTCCTAAGGGAGAGTTTAATTATTTTGTTGTTGCAATTATTATCATTGGTAATAAGTAGTGGTAGTGATAACTATAATGTTTATGACACATTTTATTTAAATACCTAATTTATGTTCTCCCATTTCATCTTCATAGTGAATAGGTAGTGCTATTTCCATTTTCAGGAGACTGTAGCTCAGAGAGGTTAATAAGTAACTTGTCCAAAGTTTGCACATCAAGAAAGTGTCAGAGTTGGGATCAAATCAGATCTGAGCTTCAAAACTTATGTTGCTAGTTGCAAACAAACAAACAAACATAATAAGCAGCTTGGTTAGCTCAGAGGTGAGCTGTCCTCTCCTATCCACAGAATTTGTTCCAAGTGACCTGAATTAGGTGAATATGACTAGTAAGGGTCTCTGCACCCTCAGGGCTGAGTGACTTGGAGTAGATGGCAGCTGTGGGGAAAGTGAAATAGCTGAATGGCTTAAGGAAACAAGCTAGGGGAATAATAACTTCAGTGAATGAATGAATAAGTGAAGTCACTGATCCTTTCTCTACAATCATTTGTTTTTAAACAAAAAACTTTTATTAAGGTATGTTTTAAAAAAATCCCACAAAACTCATACTTAAAGTGTACTGTTCAGAGATTTATGCTGTGGTGTGTGTGTGTGTGTGTGTGTGTGTGTGTGTGTGTGTGTGTATGTATCAGTGAGTGACACAGAGTGAGAGAGAGAGAGATTGAGAGATAGAGAAGGGGAAATGTATTTATGGTACTGGGGGATTGAACCCAGGGTGTTCTACAACTTGAGCTACATCCCCAACACTTTTTTATTTTAAATTTTATTTATTTATTTTTGTGATACTGGGAATTGAACCCAGGGGGGCTCTACCACTGAGCTACAACCCCAGTCCCTTGTATTTTTTTTTTTTTATTTTGAGACAGGATCTCACTAAGTTGCCAAGGCTGGCCTTGAACTTGCTATCTTCCTACTTCAGCCTCCTGAATTGCTGGGATTACAGGCATGTGCTACCACCATTATTTTTATTTTTATTTTGAGTCCTTCTTAATTTTATTTTTATTTTAAGACCACCAGGTCTCACTAAGTTGCTGAGACTGGCCTTAAACTTGTGCTGCTCGTACCTCAGCCTCCTGAGTTGCTGGGATTTTGTGTCACCATCCCCACCTTTTGCTATCTTGATGTGGTGGCTCTTTGGATGTAGAATTGGGTCAGTGTACTCTGGGTATGAATTAGAGTCAGTGGAGCTGGTCATGTGGGGTTGTGATGAAGATAATGGAGACGTGCCCTTGTGGGTTCAGATGGTCTTGGAGTCTTCATAAGAATTAGTTCTAGCAGTTCCTAATAAATCCACTGACTCTAGACCCTGCCCTTGCTCTTCTGCCCTCTCCTTACCATTTCCACATAAACAGCCACCACTGTCATAATTATGGTTTCTCTTAAATAGATTTTTTTGGGGGGGAGGGTCCCCTTTCTTGGGTTCTTTGGATTTAGCTCCATTTGGGATAAGCTGCTCTTGCACTTGGCCTAGCGTTGGAGGGTTGGCCCTTAGCAGTATTAGAAGGGCTCCCAATTTTTTTTCCTTTGAGCCTGATCATTTCATTGGTAGCTCTATTCTCTGTATACTTCTCTCTTTCTTCCATGTTCTTTCATTGTCTAATTTTTTTTGTTTGTTTGTGTGTGGGGGGGGCAGTTTTTTGTTTGGATCATTTTGAGGCATCAGGAATTGGTAACTACAATCTCAAGAGTTGGAAGGGGTCAATTTCATTGGGCATTTTCCTCTCTCAGTGACCCCCTAGGTATAGGGGGTGAGAATGTGATATGTGCATCTGGATCAGTGACACCCCATTATATGTGTGATTGTGAGCTAAAGGTAAAGACTTCTGAGTCTTCAGCAATGGCACTGGGTGAGATTGTCCAGGGAAAATGTGCATTCTAAGCAGAGGCTGAAAATAGAAAGTAAACAGAACAATGTCTCCAAATGTGGGGGAGGCAGTGGGATTCAGAAGCACAGAGAAAGAGCCCCCTTTTCATTTGAGAATGGGGGAAGAAATGAAGTGAAGTAGGAGAAATTGGTAATTGGGAATGGATGAGGAAGTTCTTTGAACCCTCAGGATTTTTCTTCTGGCTAAGGAGACTCTATTATTGTTGGGTCAGATTTCAAAACCTTCCCCCTCCTAGATGTTTCTTAGTACTTTTTGGTCCCTAGCACTGGGTACAGTATCCCAAATGTGGTCTGTTATTTAGAGAAGATTGGGAATACCCCTTCCCTTGAAGAAGGGACTCACTATTAATGAAGTCTGGTAACTCATTGGCATTTTTGGTAGTTACAGCAAGCTGTGTGCAAGGCAGAGAAATGGAAGAAATGATGTTAGTGGACCTATGAGAGCCCTACTTCTTGTTTTCAGGAGACAATGCTTAGGTTATGTTTTTTTAATTCTAACATTTGTTTTGAAAAAAGAATTAAATAATAAATGTAGAGGATAATACACCTTTCATATATCCATTATCCAGAGTTTTGTCAGTTACCTTATCCTTTTTTCAAAAGTAAATATAAATAAATTTGGCATTTTTTAATATCCTTCATTCTAGTCCCATTCCTCCCTTCTGATGTGGCATCTAAACAACTATTTTTGTTCTCTGTTTGTACATTATTGCATTTTTGTGATGCTGTGGATTAAACCCAAGGCCTTTCACATGCTAGGCAAGCAGCACTCTAACATTGAGTGTGTTTGATTAATTTTTAAAAATTTGTTAGTTTTTTTTTTTCGGTTTTAATTTTTTATTTGTAAATGGACACAATAAAGGTTTTTTTATTTTTATGTGGTTCTGAGAATTGAACCCAGTGCCTCACACATGCCAGGTAACTGCTCTACCACTGAGCCACAACCCAAGCCTGTCTGTGTTTAAAGATTTTTTTTTTTTTAGAATTTTTAAAAATATATTTATTTATTTATTTATTTTAGTTGTAGTTGGACACAACTCCTTTATTTGTTTGTATGTGGTGCTGAGGATCAAACCCAGGGCCTTGCGCTTGCTAGGCGAGCGTGCTTCCCCTGAGCCACAACGCCAGCCCATGTTTAAAGATTTTTAAAAAATTAAATTCCCTGATGCCTGTTTCAGTCTGTCAGTTTATTTTTGTAGGTTGATTTTTTTTTTTTTTTAACTATATTGCATGTGTACCCTGTCTACCAACTTTGTTTTCCTTTCCCAAGATAAAGCCCTAAACTAAAGGAAAGAAGCTTGTTTAATTAGCTCAAGGTATCAAAGAACCAGTAGGGGAGGAGGAAGTTTGTTTTTACTGAGCATCTCTTGAGCTCGCATCACTTTGGAACCTCATTTATTTTGAGCAAAAGGCCTTACAGTTAGACATCTGCCTATTTCTTTGCATATGTAATGAAGCACAGCTTTCAGCTGCTTGAATCAGGGACAAGGTAGGAGCCCTGGGAATACCTACAGGTCCTTTCTCTGAGGCTTTCTCCACTTCCTTGGTATTCTCTCTGTTGCACACTTGGCAAGCTCTGTCTTGTCCTATTCAACCATTAATGTATTTTTTTTCCACTATCTGCTCATGTCTCATTCATGTGCCTTAATAAGTGCTTAGCACCTAAGATGGAGACATTCATTTGAGTTTTAAAGTGGGACTTACTGGCTCCTATCACAATCGTGCTTGTGCTACAGGAACTTCACAGACCAGCTGCGGAAGATTTCCAAGGATGCAGGGATGCCCATCCAGGGTCAGCCTTGTTTCTGCAAATACGCACAAGGGGCTGACAGCGTGGAGCCCATGTTCCGGCATCTCAAGAACACCTACTCAGGGCTGCAGCTCATTATCGTCATCCTGCCAGGGAAGACGCCAGTGTATGGTACAGTTCTCTTGGGACAGTGATAATGATAATAGGACACTTCTTGGGATAGCTCCCTGGGGGATTTTTGGTGGAGTTGATGGAGAGTTTTGATTTCTGCCAAAGGTGTCCCATGTTAGCATTCCTCTTATGAGAGAAATATCAGTCTATATGAGCTATTGGGTCATTCTAGATTTTATTTACCTGCTCACAGTCCCTCCCAGTAATATTTACTGGGGACCTTGTGTGCTGGTCTTTCTGCCAGGCTCAGATGGCCAGATACATAGATGGCTCAATTGAGATTCCTGTCCTTAGGAGTGTGTAGTTTATTAGGACATTGTGCAGCCCAAGCAAAGATATCGTGGTTCTGCTAATATTCTGTTACCTGATAATGATGTGGACTTTTTAAGAGGTTTCTGTCTTCCCTTTTTTCTCTTTTTTAGAAAAGAAATGACTATGTATGTCTCTGTTAGCACTTTTCTCTTATTCCATTTGCTCAGCAGCTCTGTGCTCTTGCTCCCATCCGGTTCTGTTATCTTTGGTAATTCATATACCTTTCAAGCTTCAAACATTTTTAGATTTCCCCCTCCTGGAATATGTTACTACAATTGTGTGTGTGTGTGTGTGTGTGTGTGTGTGTGTGTTCCTGAGGATTGAATCCAGGGCCTTACGCATGCTAACAAGTGCTTTACCACTGAGCTACATTCCAGTTTTCTTCTTCCCTTGACTTCTGGATGTTTTCTCCTATCTCTCAATTTTGTCATTATCAGGAATGTCTGGTATTCTCTGGCATTCTGTCCTCTGCTTTTACATTCTGTTGATACTCCCATTCATTCCAATTGCTTAGGTTATCACCTCTTGTTTATAAGTTATAGAACTAAAATCTTGATCCAGCCCTTGAACTCTTTGCAGTTCCTATATTTCCATTTGGCCTCTTTCTTCTGCAAGTTGTTGGTCATCTATTCTAACCTTTATTCACAAGTCTTTCTTGAGTAGGTTACCAGATAAGATTTTGTGACTGTCCTATAAAAAACACCTTCAGGGGCTGGGGTTGTTGCTCAGTGGTAGAGCACTCACCTAGCAGGAGTAAGGCACTGGGTTCAATCCTTAGCACCACATAAAAATAAGATAAAGGTACTGTGTCCACCTACAACTAAAAGTATATGTTAAAAACAAAAACGAAAAAACACCTTCATTGGTCCCCATTCACTACTATGTTAAGGGCTTTGTGGGTCCTGAACTTAGTTTAACCTCTTCAGTTTTATCTTGCACTGCTTACTTGCTATTCATATTAGAAAGATCTGGAATTGGAGCTGAATTTAAGTCCTGGATGTACCAGTCAACTGGCTTAGACAAATTACCTGACTTTTCTGAGCCTCATCAATTAATGATACAAAAATTACCTAGCAGAGTGCCTGGCACATAGTAGATCCATTTTAAATGCACGTTCCTTGTCTGTGCTTTCCACTCTCTGGTTTCGCTCTCATCATTTTGTTTTTGCTTGGCTATCTGACTACTCTTCTTGTTCTTCTCTCTTGCCCTTAAATTTCTCTCCATCTTTTGAGACCCAGTTTAAATGCTGCTTATTCCTTATTCCTATCATTCCACCTGGAGGATGAACTTGTCTTTCTGGATTCCTCTGATTTATCAAGCCACTGATCATCAGTTACTACCTTGTTTAATTTTGAATGTGGAATATATCTGACTCTGCTCTGAAACCTTCTTGCCTCTGCACATATAGAAGATACTATCTTATGTTGTTATGATACTCAATAATTTCTTATGAAGGGAAGTTGGTTGACCTTCAGGCTATTTCTCTCTTAAAGGGCCTTAAATTCATAGTCCTGAAAGAAAGATAAGGATGCTTTTTAGGAGAACTGCCTTGAGTAAGTATCCCTGTATGTGGTTCCCTCTGTTACAGGAAAATCCAGTGTTTTGGCTTACTGGGGAAGCAGTACTTGATCAGAATTTTCCCCTCGCTGGGCTCAGTAATATTACACCTCTCCCCAGCCTTGTGCCTTTATTAGGTCCTTGGGTTTCTTCCATTTACATGGACATGAGACTATCTGCCTGAAAATTAAGCCAGCAGATAAGAGAAGCAGTCAGATTCTACTAAAGACCCTTCAGGATGCTGGGTGAAATGACACTCTTCCTGTGATGGTCAGATCAAGGTCTTGTTGGCTTTGTGGTTGCCCTGAGAGTGTAGACAGTGTCAAATTTGCTCAGTTCTGATGTGGTACTATATATATATCCAGTTTTCTTTATATTTTATATTTTCTCTCCATTAAATTGATACCATTTACTTTTTTAAAAATGCAACTTCTTACTAAATTATAATACATACATAGAAATCTGAAACGTTTAGCTCAATGAATTTTCACTGTCAACAGTGTAATCAGTACTTAGCAGAACATTATCACCACTCAGCTACCAGTTATTGAGGGAACCACTATTCTGGTTTCTAACACCATAGATTTTGCATATTTTTAAAATTTCATGTAAATGTAATCACAGTGTATGTATTTTTTGTGTGTCTGGCTTCTTTTAGGCAATATTAAATTTGTGAGATTTATTTGTGTTGTGTTTAGTTGTAGTTTGTTACAGGTTTTCCATCATGTGAATATAACACATTTTACATGGATCTGTCCATTTTACTGTTAATACACGTTTGTATTGTCTTCAGTTTTTTAAAAAAATATTTTTAGTTGTAGATGGACATAAAATCTTTATTTACTTATTTATGTGGTGCTGAGAATTGAACCCAGTGCTTCACACATACTAGGCAAGTGCTCTACCACTGAGCTGCAACCCCAGCCCTAGTCTTCAGTTTTGACTACTATAAATAATGCTTGTACATGTCCTTTGAACACCTGTGCATATTTCTATTGAGTGTGTATTACCAACTAACACACCAATAGCAGTGTGTGATAGTTCTAGGAGTTTCAAATCCTTATTAAAGTTGGTATTCTCTTTTTCATTTTAGCCATTCTTTGGGGTTTTTAATGATATTATTGCATTATGCTTTTAATTTGATTTTCTTATAACATAAAGTTGAAAATCTTTATGTCTTGACTAGTCACTAGCCTCTTTTGTTAAGTACCTGATCAAGTCTTTAAAATACTAGATTTTTCCTTTGATATCATTAAATTCAAAGGACATTTCTGATCATCATTTTACCACTTTCTTAGATACATTTGACTTTTATTTTTGTTCTTTTTGGTATTGGGGATTGAACCGAGGGGAGCTTAGCCACTTCCCCAGCCTTGTTTAATTTTTTTTTTTAAGTTTTAGACAGGGTCTCACTATGTTGCTGAAGCTGATCCTGAACTGAGATCCTCCTGTCTCAGCCTCAAGAGTTCCTGGGATGGGCTGGGGTTGTGGCTCAGTGGTAGAGTGCTCCTCTAGCATTCATGAGGCACTGGGTTCGATCCTCAGCACCACATAAAGTAAAATAAAGACATTGTGTCCACCAAAAAAAAAAAAAAGAGTTCCTGGGATTACAGATGTGGGCTGCTACACCTGGTTTGCATTTGACTTTCTTGTTCTCTTGCTCCTTCTTGAAATACTGTCTTCCCTTGGTGTTTACCATACAACACTGTCTTTTTCTTCCTTATAGCTGTTTGGATTTTTGCTCCTTGCAGACCCATCTTCCTGTTCTGCAAATACTGGGAGTTCCTCAAGATTTAGATCTAAGCCCTCTTTTCACTCTATCTTCCTTAATGATCTCATCAAGATCATGCCTTCAGTTACTGCCTGTACTTAAATATTGCAGAAATTTCTTTTGAGCTTCCAACCCGTATGTCCATTTGCCTAGTTGATAACCTTAGTGGGATGACAAAAAACACTTCAAACTAAACATGTTTCTCAAAGAATTTGTTAGAAAATCTAGAAACTTAAAATTTATCCATAAAAATCTCTTCTCTTTCTCATGTGTCTTGTCTGTAACTGAGTTCCTAAAATCAAATATCTTCTGAATCTATTTGTTTCCATCTCAATAACTCAACTTTAATTTTTTTTTTTTTAAAGAGAGAGGAGAGGGGAAGAGAAAGAGAGAGAGAGAGAGAATTTATTTATTTATTTTAGTTTTTTTCTGGCGGACACAAAATCTCTGTTTGTATGTGGTGCTGAGGATCGAACCCGGGCCGCACGCATGCCAGGCGAGCGCGCTACCGCTTGAGCCACATCCCCAGCCCTAATTTTTTTTTTTTTAAATTTTAAAAGTTGTTTTTTGTTGAGGGATGGGCAGTGTTGGGGATTGAACCCAGGGCCCAGTGCATGCTAAGCACAAGCTTTACTACTGAAATATGTCTTCAGCTCCTTGACTTTATTCTTAACCCACTAAGTCCCAAATTTTCAATTCTGTGACTATTTCAATGAAATTAACACATGTGCATTAAAATAGATTGGAAAACATAATCTAGTTCTCATATAGTTTATTATTTAGTATTAATTACAATAACATTAATGAAAATTATCACTAATCATTCATTTACTACTTTTCTCAAAAGAATAGAACTCTAGAAATATTTATTTCAAAGTTACCATGATACATTGTTTGCTCAATAAAAGAGTTTTTTTTAAACATTTATATATTTACTTCAGTTGGACACAATTACTTTGTTTATTTTTATATGGTGCTGAGTATCTAATCCAGTGCCTCACGCATGCTAGGCAAGTGCTCTACCTCTGAGCCACAACTTCAGCTTTCTTTTTTTTTTTTTTTAAATATTTATTTATTTATTAGTTATTGGCAGACACAACATCTTTGCTTGTATGTGGTGCTGGAGGATCGAACCCAGGCCGCACACATGCCAGGCGAGCGCGCTACCGCTTGAGCCACATCCCCAGCCCCACAACTTCAGCTTTCAATTTAAGTTTTTTGTTCCATAAATGGGATGATGGGACATAATGGGTTAATCTAAGCCACCCTCATCTTTTCCATAGATTAGCCTAATTACCACATTTTTTTTCTGTTACAACATGGTCCCATGCCTCTCCTTTTTAGCCAACATGGTCTTTCAATTTCTCAAATATATCGTACTATCTATCTCCTAGCAGAGTACATGTTTCCTTTGCCTGAAATGTTTCCTCTCAAATCCCTCCTTTAAGCCCTTTGCTGCCTTCAGATTTCATTTTCATCATTTCTTACTCAAGAATATTTTTCTGACTAGTATATTACCCCCTATTACGTTCTCGCATAGCTCCACGTGGTTTTCTGTTGTAGCATTTATCAGTGTTAGAATTTTCATGGTTTTTAAAATTAAGTCACAAAGTAAGCATTGTAAGAGCAGTGTTTATGATATGTTTTCTGGTCACTGTTATGTTCCTTAACACTTCATAATACTACCTAGCATTCAGTAGGCATTCAGTAAATACTTGTTAAATATGTTAATCATTTCTCTCCCTTCCTGTAGCTGAGGTGAAACGAGTTGGAGATACTCTTTTGGGAATGGCAACACAGTGTGTGCAGGTGAAGAACGTAGTCAAGACATCGCCTCAGACTCTATCCAACCTCTGCCTCAAGATCAATGTCAAACTTGGTGGCATTAACAACATCCTAGTCCCACACCAGCGGTATGAACTCTGTTGACCATTTGATCTTGTAGAGGTACCTTGCTGGGGATTAATGAACAGACAGGCCCTTGGCCAGGCAGAGTGAATCAGACTTAAGAGGGAAAAGAACAAAGTGAGTGCTAGATGGTGCTAGGCAGAGAAGATGCAATTCCTCACCATTTTGTTTTCTCTTCTTTGCTCAGCTCTGCTGTCTTTCAACAGCCAGTGATATTCCTAGGAGCAGATGTTACACACCCCCCAGCAGGGGATGGGAAAAAACCTTCTATCACAGCAGTGAGTAATATGCTTCAGCTTCCTCATAAGGTTCTCCTCTTAACTCTGAGCCCTCAAGACTGTGCATGATTTCCTTCCCTCAGCCCAGGCTCTTCTTGACCCTGGGTAAGACCCTGCAGCTCACCATCCCCTTTACCCTTAAAGCTCTGTGTAATATCTTTTTTTGGGAGAAAGATGAGTGAGAATACAGCCTAAGGACAGAAACTGTAGCCAGTCTCCCATCACACTTGCTCTGCATCTGAACTTTTCTCTTTCCACACTTGCTTTTAGGATATGGGAAGTATATATCTTCTCTGAAATCCCTCTTAAGAGAGTTACTTAGTTCCTGGGATTGTCCTTTCCTCTGCTCCATCCCCACCCTTAATCTGTCTAGTTGATTAGATGTCTCTCCAATGCCTCTTCTGATTTTTTGGCTCCCTGTCTCTTAGAGGCTTCCAAATTGCTAGGGGTCAGCAATTACTTCATACTTCTATTTCTTCAGCTTTCTTATTTCTCTAGGTAGATTTGTCTTAATTTGGTAAGGTAGACAAAACCTATAATATGCTTATTCTGATTTGCCTGTGGCCATCCCTCTTAGGCTATAGTCATTCTCCCTTTTGAAATTGACGTACTTTCATCAACTACAAGATGGTCATGGTTCCTGGGTAGATTATTAATTAAATGGAGAAAAGGATAAACTTGCCCTGGATGAGTCATTGAGTTAGTAGTGCCAAATCTTCACATGTTCTTCTGTAAGGGATAGGGCCAGGCCTTGTGCACGATGCTTTATAGGTACCACACCACCATTGAAAGCAAGTATTCTTATCAGAAGGATTAAGTAAATTCTGAAAGTACAGTAGAACAGACTTTTTTATCCAAGACCCTGCTCATTTAGTTGCACAGTTTTTTCGCTAAAAAGCCTTTCCTCAAACCCACATTCTGACAGGGAAAGTGATATATTGGTGGCTGATCCTTTCTTTTTGATTGTCAGGTAGTAGGCAGTATGGATGCCCACCCCAGCCGATACTGTGCTACTGTGCGGGTACAGCGACCACGGCAGGAGATCATTGAAGACTTGTCCTACATGGTGCGTGAGCTGCTCATCCAATTCTACAAGTCCACCCGCTTCAAGCCGACGCGCATCATCTTCTATCGAGATGGGGTCCCAGAAGGCCAGCTTCCCCAGGTAGGGCCCATGTTGAGGCCAGAGGGCTAGGTGCTTTTCTAAGCTGTTGGCTCTGGGAGATGTGCCAGTTCTTCAGGAGCTTCTCTAAATGGGGTAGGCTTGTGGGCAAGGATCACAACTGAGAAGTGAGTATTAAGCATTTATAGACTTTTCTTCTTACAACAGAAAGCCCTTGATGCCTGTTTACTGGTTGGTTCATATTGGAGACTGCTTTAGATCAGTCTTTCTCATTCCTCTCCCTCCCTCCCCCAGACCAATGATTCTCAAATATATCAACGTAACCTGGAGGAACTGTTTAAACAGTTTGTGGCTCTACCCTTGCAATTTCTGTTTCAATGAGACTAGGATACAATCCTAGAATCTGTCAAACTGACAGGTTCCTGGATTTTGCTACTGGGCTAGAGACCACACTTGAGAACCATATTGTTGACCTTTTTTCATAATGTTACTCCTATTTATTCTCACTGCCAGCCCTCATATTCTATTGCTTAGACTAGTATACTGAACTGCTTTTCTTAATTACCTTTGTGCGTATGCATATGTGTTATTGAGGGTCAAACCCAGGGCTTTGTACATGGTATGCAAGTGCTCTACCACTGAATTATATCCCCAGCCCTTAACTACCATTTGATAGTATTATGACTATAGTTTATTGGGCATATCTTATGCTGTGAACTGTGCTGTAGCACTTTAAGTATGTTCTATTTAATGCTTACAGTTGCCAAGGAGAAATAATAATTTTATCATTGCCATTTGACAGATGAGGAAACAGGTTTGGAAATGTTAAATGAATCTTCATTGTCACTCAAGCTGATAAGTAGTATTGGGATTCAGTCACATTGTTCTTATTCTGAAGTCCATTCTCTTAAACATTGCACTCAATTTCTCCAAGTCATCCATTATTTCCTAAATGCCAGACAAATTTATCATATCACTTCTGTATTCAGAAATCTCTAGTAGCTTCACAAAGCTATGAGTTAAGATTCAGCTGATTAGCAAAATTATCAGCAGTTATTAATCCATACTGCTTTTTAGGCTTTTATTTAATTTCTTAGTCTTCACAATGGCTTTGTAATTCTTATTAGTAACATTAATGGATATAGTGAAAGTGAGATTTAGAGGGGTTATATAACTTGCTGAAGGTGATACAACTATATGAAGCTTGGGTTTAAGCCTAGTTCTAGTTTTTTTCCAAGGTCTTTCCTTTTCTACTGTACAGTCATGTGTGTGTACATGTATGTGTGTTGGGGGGTTGCTGTTGGGGATTGGATCAAAGACCTTGGGCATACTAAGCTTGTGCTCTACCACTGAGTTATACTCCCAACCCCTTCCATATAGTTTTCACTTCCTATTTCTGACGTCTATGATCACAGGTAACTATTGTCTATGATTTTTACACTGTGATGACTTCATTAGCTCATTCATTTTCTTATAATCTTACATCTTTATGGGATTGGATTCATCTACTCCCCTTGCACCTATTCAGGAACTTGTATGTCTGCTTTTCTCTGGTGGTCCAAACCCTATCTACTCTTGGAGCTCACAGGGGAATTCCCAGTATCTTCTTGATCCTGAAGTCGACCTTACTTTGAACATTGGGATTTTAGTGATTGCTCTGTGAACTTTGATTTTGTGTCTTGATGTTGGGTCTCTTTATGCTTGGGAACCAGGAGGGTACTCTCTTCCTAGTCAAGGTGTTATTGAAACATATCAGGTGAACTGAGTATAAGGCTGATTTTTTTGGCAGGAAAAGCCTATTATCTCTTAATTGATTGATAAGCATCTGTTTATAAAGGGAGGCTGAGCAAAAAGCCCTATTATAGATGACAGTCTTTTAGTTCAGGAAAGCATATGAACTCAAGAGGAGTTGTGTATCTTTGTCTCCCTCCTCACCCTGTGCCTAGATCCTCCACTATGAGCTACTGGCCATTCGAGATGCCTGCATCAAACTGGAAAAGGACTACCAGCCTGGGATCACTTACATTGTGGTGCAGAAACGCCATCACACCCGCCTTTTTTGTGCTGACAAGAATGAGCGAGTGAGTGAGGGATTAAGGAGACCACTTATACCCTTATCCTGTCTCCCTTGTCTTGATAAGGAAGAAGCCCTTGAGATGAAGTCTGGGAATTTAGTCCTTGTCCTGTGCATCTCCCTGGCTCATTCCTTCCCCCTGACTCTTGTAGTCCATCCTGTACCACTTTTTCCTTTAGTGTCCTCCTTCTCCCCTCCTTCCCTTATACTTCCTCTCCCTCCTCCTAGCTCCCTGGCCTAGACCCCATATATAGAACAACTCCCAGAGAAAGGAAAGGGAACAACCATTTATTGAACTTCTCCTATGTGCCAGATACTGTACAAGGCGTCTTCCTCACAGCAACCCTGTGAGGTAGGTACTATTATTATCTCCAGTTTAACCTCAGAAAGGTTAAAAATCTTAAAGCTAAGATTACACAGGTAATAAATGGCAAGATCAGGACTTGAACACAATTCTGTATGATTTTAGAAGCCTATTATTTCAAGACCTAGTACCCTCTGGGAACAATAATTTCTGTCTTGCTTTTGGGGTTCTGGTGGAATCAGAGTAGAATTCAGCCAAGGCCTTTGTTAGAGCCAAGCAGGTCTTGGGATCTTGGTTGTGTTTCTCTCTACACAGATTGGGAAGAGTGGTAACATCCCAGCTGGGACCACTGTGGACACCAACATCACCCATCCATTTGAGTTTGACTTCTATCTGTGCAGCCATGCAGGCATCCAGGTAGCTGGGTTATGCCCTGGGGTTTCCACTGGTCAAAGATTAGTTGGTGATTCCTACTGCCTCTAGAATATGTGAGTTATCAACTGAGTGGTATTCAAATCAGGATTTCTTTCTTTCTTTTTTTTTCTTTTTGTAGATGGATACAGTAATTTTTTAAAAATTTTTTTTATTGGGCTGGGGATGTGGCTCAAGCGGGCACGCTCGCCTAGCATGCGTGCGGCCTGGGTTCAATCCTCAGCACCACATACAAAAAAACAAAGATGTTGTGTCCGCCAAACACTAAAAAATAAATATTAAAATTCTCTCTCTCTCTCTCGTTCTCCCTCTCCCTCTCTCACTCTCTCTTTAAAAAAAAAAAAAAAATTTATGTGGTGCTGAGGATTGAACCCAGTGCCTCACACATGCTAGTCAAGCATTCTCCCATTGAGCAACAACCGCAGCTCCAGGATTGCCTTCTTAATAAACCCTGAGTATACTTGCAAATTGCCCATAAAAGTTTGCTTTATGACACTGGTGGTTTTGTGTCTCTGTTCATGGGTGGGTCATCCAGCCTAGCCATATTCTTAGTAGTGATTCTGTCTTTATTATCAGCCAACCTCTCTGCCCAACCTAGGACCCCTCACCTTCTTATCTTCCTAGGGTACCAGCCGACCATCCCATTACTATGTCCTTTGGGATGACAACCGTTTCACAGCGGATGAGCTTCAGATATTGACATACCAGCTGTGCCACACTTATGTACGATGCACACGTTCTGTCTCTATCCCAGCACCAGCCTACTATGCCCGCCTAGTGGCTTTCCGGGCACGATACCACCTGGTGGACAAGGAGCATGACAGGTGAGGCCTGGGATCAGCCTGGCTTCCTTTTTGCTTCAGCCTATTCAGACTCTCCTAACTCTCCTTGGGTAAAAGGAAGTGGATGCTACTCAATTTGGTGTTCTTGAGCCCATCTGCCCAATGCTGGATTGGGGTTTTCTCTTAATGTTGGTATGGATATTGGCATACCATCACCAGGGATGGGCGAGGGAATTAGCAGTAGCTCAGTTTACCAGAAAGAACTTCTTTCATTTTTTTCCTTTTCAGTGGAGAGGGGAGCCACATATCGGGGCAGAGCAATGGGCGGGACCCCCAGGCCCTGGCCAAAGCCGTGCAGGTTCACCAGGATACTCTGCGCACCATGTACTTCGCTTGAAGGCAGAACGCTGTTACCTCACTGGATAGAAGAAAGCTTTCCAAGCCCCAGGAGCTGTGCCGCCCAAATCCAGAGGAAGCAAGGAGAAGGGAGGTGGGGTAGGGAGGAGTGCAGGAGGCCTTGTTTCTTTCTGCAGAGGGGGTGTAACGGTGGGGAATAGGGCCAGCAAGACAGACCACCAGCCAGAAATCTCTGATATTAACCTCATGCTCCCCACCCCTCACCTCATCTTGTCACATCTGGCCCTGACCCCACTGGACCAAGAGGGGCAGCACTGGTGCCCACCATACACACAGGTGTCTCATGTGACTCACAGTGCTAACTAAAGACTCATGCTTGACAGCTTGGTAAGGTCGGCTCTGTAGCCCTGCGGACAAAAGCTGATAGGTTTGGGTTTGCTACTTTAGTTGGAAAAGTAAAGGGCTTGAGAAAGTGGGTGGGAGGAGGGAAGGATTTTTTTTTAGGAGCCTTAATCAAAAAAGGTCTAGATTTGTCTAAAAAGAAAAATGAAACCAGACCCAGATCAATATTTTAGGATACTAAATGTTTTCATGGGTTCAGAATCCAGTTTGTAGGAAGATTTTTAATGCTAATAGTTTTGGTTGCTCCTCCCCAGCTGCCACCCCCACCCACCGCCCTTATTCCTCTCCACATTTTCTACCCCATCCTACGCCTCCTTCCTGACAGTCATCCAGCCCTCCTAGCAACACTTAAGGCACTATGGCACTTAGCTCTGAAGTGACACGACCCTGTCTTCCTTCCGCCTGCTGGTGGGTAACCAGTGCCTTCCCTGTAATGGTAATGCTGCAGAACTGCAACCTTTTGTACCTTTCTTTGGGGGATGGGGTGGGGGTGGGAGAGGAGGTAGGTGGGGAAGAAATATCCTGAACACAACAAGCCTCCAGCCAGAATGCCAGCTATTTTGCATTTAAAGGAATTGATTTCCACATTCATTGAGCTTTGGAAAAGATTACAACCTCAAGATGGTTAAAATCCATTGACATTTGCACTTTCAGACGTGACAAGTCTCGGAGCTGCTGAGATGACTGGCCCTTGGCCTTTCCACTTTTGCCTCTTTTTTCCCCATACCTGCCACCCTGCCCTGGTCTAGAGTTACTTTCATAGCATTTCTCACTCTTGGCTTCTTTTTTTTCCCCCTGATGGTCAAGTTTCTTGTGTTTCAATATTTCTTAAATGGGGTGTCTTATAACAGAAGATCCTTAGGTTTAAAATAAGAAAAAGAAAACTAAATGTTATTTTTATACCACAACTTGAGTCTATTGCCAAAATCTGGAAATCGCTCCCATGCCTGATGAGTTTACATCCCGGAAACATTGAGCCATCAGAAGGAACTGTGTACCTGACTTGTCTTCTGGCCTGGCTAGGTAAAGGGTGGTGGTCTCCCCAAGGTGGAGCTCGAGCTCTATCCTTCCTCTGTGCAGAAAATACCTTTTTCTTGCTGCAGGCTCCCTTCTCTGCACTATCCTGCACTCTTTCCTGCAAATGCATCTTCCCTTCCTTTGGACTGGACTGTCCTTTGACTCATCCCAGATTCTAGCATGTCCTGTGGACAGGCTGGGAATTTTGCTGCTCCCTAATGCTTCTGTTTACACAAAGGAATTTTTCCTGGTTTCCCACTAGGGCATGTGAGTGGGTGGCATGGTTTTTCCTTTTCTTTTTCTTTTTCTTTTTCTTTTTTTTTTTTTTGTCTTGAGATATGGGGTTTGGCTCTCTTGCAAGACTGGAAACGAAGGGGGTTCTTATGCTGACCTTGAAGCAAGGTCCCCTCTTTCCTTGACTGTTCTCCCCCACCCTCACCTCGTGTCCTGAGGAGTTTCAACTTCAGTGGGGAAATTCCTCTTTTTGAAGAGCTTGGGCTTGGGTATCCCCCTCTGGTTATGAAGCCATGATACCTGAGATCTAGCCCAGGCTTGGAGGCCAGCTGGGAGAAGGAGGGTCTGAATCCTGGTCTGTGGAGTTAGAGCTACCCTTTTCTTTCCAAGGCAGCCCTTGTACAGACCCAGATTTGCTATGCAAAACAATTTATCCCAGGTTCTGTTCTGGTTGGCTACATTGTTCAACAACTTCATAAAACGTAGCAAACATTCATTATGGAGAAAGCAACAGGACTGTTGAGTAACTCCTCCTGTATTTTTTTCCTGCTGGCTACAGTATGGGGTGCCCCATGGGCACAAGCCCAGCTAAGGAACAGAATGGAGGGCTCTGGGAGGAGGCAGCTTACTGGAGAGCCTACATTCCTTACACAAGTGCCTAAAGAGAGTGATGCCAACACTCCATCTGCCCTGTCCATCGCCTTCACATACAGTCTACTTCATGTTCTGTCACCCTTTAGGGAAGGAGCTCTCCTAGGACAGTGGGCTCTGCAAGTTCTCTATTTGGGTACATTTTGGGGCTGTGATAAGGGCACTATTCCTGGAGGGTCTAGTCATTCACCAGCATTTGCAAAAGTCCATAGGGAACAGGTGGCAGTCCCTTCTTGCAGCAGCAAGTTTGTGCTCTCTCCTTCTCTATCTCTGCCTCACTCTCTCCAGTTGTGTTTTAAGCTGGGGCTTGAAAGGCATATTTGGTCTTTTGGCATTGCACATGCCTTTGAAGAAATAAAAGCAAGAGAAGCAGTTTGGGCAATGATAAGAAAATTACTTCTTGCTTAATGTAATGGAAAAATATGTTTGAGACTTGAAAAATACCCTTGACAATGTTGATTATTCTTGTTCGAAGGGTGTTACACGCACAGTAAGAAGTGGTGTTGCAAGCAAGCCAAAGCTTGGTTTAAGTAGTGCTTCTTACCAGGCTCCAAGGAAGCACTGAGAGGGCCCTGGTTAGACTCATCCTCTTAGACAGGCCTCTAACTCCCTTTGTCCCACTGTTTTGCCTGCCTTTTCCTATTCTCACTTTCCTTGGCTTCCTCTTCCTTTTTTCTGTTCACTCAGCTTGCTTGCTGGCCAGCCTGCTTGCCTGTCTGCCTATGTGATGATGAATTCTCTGCATGGCTGCAGTGATCCCACTGTTAGTTGACAAAGTTAGGCTTAACCCCTTTTCTGCAGAAGACCAAGAACCTGCTCCCCACACCCAGTGGTATTAACCCTGGGTTGGACTCTCCTCAAGCTTACACTAGGGCAAAGCAGTAGGTCTGCCCAACTGGCATGAAATCAGGAGGGTTTCTGTCAGTTCCATATTTATCCACTCCTTGGATCTGGTTTCTCTCATATTTTCTGGTTCTGCTTCCTTTTCTCTTTACCTGAGACTTCCCTTTGCTGAGGATATTCCAGGGTTGAGCTATTTGGGTATTCAGGGTTGGAGGGTTAGAAGATAGATACAGAGGAAGAAGGGAGTGTTTGGAAGAGAGTGGAGAGAGTTTGGATTAAAGATGAGAAAGGAAAGCAGTGCTCTTTGTCCAGTCCAACACGACCTTTTGGTGTCGAGGTGCTACTGTTGGCTTCTGGGGTTAAACCTGGGGCTATTGTTGCTGGGAACACTTAGAATAAGGCTAAAGAGGGTACCTAGAAGTTTGAAACCTCCCTAAAAAGCTCCTAGTCCCCACCTGTGAGATAGCTCCTCTGTGGTGTCCTCTTTGGCTGAGAAGCAGTGTTTTTGGATAGTTTTTTTTTCTTTTTTTTTCTTTTTGGTCCAGAATGATGTGAATAGGACTGCACACATGATGAACAGCCAAGACGACTGTTTTCTTACCTTGCTGATGTGGTATCTGCAAGGCTAGACCTGGCATCCTGTGTGACAAAAAAGGATGGAAGCTCCTTCCTTTTCAGGGTAGAAAAGTCATCTCAAACTAGCCAAAAGGCAGTTTTGGAAACAATGTTGGGGAAAGTAATTTTTATTTATTTACTGGGTTTGGGCAGATCCAGGATGATAGCTGGGAAGCCTTTCTTCTTCAAGTCTGATCATGGCAGGGATATGCAGGGCACTCTTCCCTCTAGGCCTTCTAAGCAGACTGGGGAGGAGGGAATTCTCTGGTTTTCTCTTTCCCTCCACTTACTAGGACTTGCCTCCTCCCTTGGCCGGGAGCGAGGCTGGGTTGGTGCTCTCCCTTTACTCTACTCCTGACTTAGAACCTCTGGCTGCTGTTTGGGAGCCCAAGAAAGGGAGTGGAAGGAATGGGCTCAAAACAAAACAATGATGTGGGGAAGGCAGATTTCCTACTTTAAAAAGGAAAATGGGAAACTCTCCAAGAATTGTGCAAGTAAAGACAATGTGTCCAAAAGCACTGAGTCCCCTGGTGTAGTAGCAATAAGGAAAAATGAAATGACTTTCCTGTACACACAGTCCAACCTGATTGGTGTGTGATGTTGCACTTAGCAGCCATGTGGTGGGCATGTGTGACTACTCTGGGTTTCACTTTAGTTTCTAAACTTTTTATCCCTCTCAAGTCCAGCATGGATGGGGAAGTGTCCCTGGAGCCCCACAGCTGTGTACTTGTTTGCGTTTGTTTCCCTTTGGGACTTGTGTTTGTGTCCTGCTTTGAGCTGTACCTTGTCCAGTCCATTGTGAAATTATCCCAGCAGCTGTATTGTACAGTTCCTTCAGAAGCAAGCAACAGCAGCAGCACAATTCTGTGTTTTATAAAGACAACAGTGGCTTCTATTTCTAAAGTGCAGTCTCTCTCTCTTTTTTTTTTCCTCAACGCCCCCCCCCCCAAAAAAAACAACTTTGGGATTAATTACATCTCTGATAGTTTTTAGGATGAACTAATAGATTGTTATGCAATCATACTTCACAGGGCCTCCAAGTATTCATTCAATAAACATGCAAAGCACTGTGACAGCAGTATTGAGGGAGAAAAGGCGGGCACAATTCAAGAACAAGGAAAATGGGCTAGAAATGTAGTTGAGCGGCAGAGTACCTGCCTAGCAAGCACGAGGCCCTGAGATTGATTCCCAGCACTGTACAAAAATTAAAAACACAAAAATGAGTAACAGAGGACTTCCTTAAGGAGCATAAAGTTCAGTAGATGTGATTAGCTACAAAGTCCCCTGGTACAGGAGAAAGATATTAAGGGACTAGAACAAGGCTGTGTATCAACAGAGATAGAGAAGAAAAGGCAGATTGAAGATAAGAAATAGAATTAGTCAGACTCCCTGGCTGATAAAAGGGGTAGAGGAGTAGAGGCCAGTGCACAGGTTTCTAGTAGGAACATGTGAGTATGTTGTGATGTTCTAATAAAAATAGGATGTTGTGTGAAAAATAAGTAGTTTTGAATAAACTGAGTTTTGAGGCACTTGTGAGGCAATGAAGTTCAAGCTTCAAGTAAATATAGTTTTGATGCCAGGTAGAACTACAAAACACAGTTATGGATATTGGAGTCATAGGTGTATAAATGGTAGTTAAAACCAAAGGCATGATGACAGCTGAGAAAAAGTTGAGAAAAACAGTGAACCACCCTAGGAAATTCCTTTTAAGGGATAGGAGAAACAGAACCTAAGGTAACAGTCAAATCAAATCACTAGTAGATGCCTTTGGGTGTGTGTGTGGGGGGGACTGGTTTAACAAGGTGGGAGAAAAGAGAGAAGATGGTCCAAGAAATAATTAACAACATGAACTACAGAAAGGGAGTATTTTTTCCCCTTATTTTACTGTCCTCTTTATCTTGTTTGAGATTTTAACAACAATATTACTTACTTATCATTCTCCAGTAATTCTCAAAAATGAACATTGGGGGGAAAAAAAAGTAAGACTAGGTCTTCTATGTTATTCACCACAACCAACACCACTACCACCTCCAACTTTCTCCTGTTAAGGCCTTAGGAGATACTTGTAAAAGAATAAATTTTTGTTTTTATTTGTTTCCAAGCAGCATCTTAGATGATGTACTGGTGCACTAGATAGCACTTAACTTGCTGTGTTTATTTTCATGACTTTTCTTCTCCAGAACCTATGAATTTCTAGGAATAGAAACTACATTCTGTTAATTTTTGTCATGAGTGTCATAGCATATACCAACATTTGAGAATGGAAGTAAAATGAATTAGTAATCTGTGGTTCATGAATATGGGACTGGGGTCAAGAAGTGATACTGAGTATTGCAGGATGGAGCAGCATTTCTGAGGCAGCATTCCTGAATCTTCAGGTAAGCAGAAACTTCACCAGATTATCATCTTTTCCCACTTTTTCCCCAACTTTGGAGGTTCTGTGGCTTTGTACCTTAAACTGGAGTATAGTTACCAAGGATGTTAGTTCTGGCATTTCTCCCTAGTACTGCTGGAGCATTGTTATATTTGTACACTGGGGGAAGGAAGTTGGTTCAGGGAAGGATTCTGGCACAAAGCCCTGTAAGAAATCATCACTGGCAGCCGGTATGTGTTTAACGGGCCTAGCATTCCTCTGGAGGCCCAGTGCTGTGACTTTTCAAATTGCAGAGCTAACCTGTGGCTGCCACCTGCCAGATTCCCTTGGGAAAGAGCCAGTGAGACCCATGCTGTTTTAGAAGAGCAAATTGGAACATGTTTCCCAGTTGAAATAAAACAAAAGGGGCTGGAGTTGTAGCTCAGTGGAAGAGTGCTTGCCTAGTATGTGTGAGGCACTGGGTTCGATTCTCAGCACCACATATATAAAAATAAAGGTCCATCAACAACTAAAAAATATTAAAAAAATAAATAAATTTATGATCTTGACTGGTAGTATAGCTTAGTGGAAGAGTACTTGCCTAGAATACATGAGGCCTCGAGTGGGATCCCCAGCCCAGGTGGGGTGGGTAGGATGAACATTATGACAAAAGTTTGCTATAAACATCAGTTTTAGAAATGAGTGATTTTGAAAGGGCTTCCGTGTTTGTCTATTGGTTACTTCTCAAAGAAACTGGGAGCCCAAGGCCTGTACTGTCTGGTCCTGGGGCCTAAGGTTTTGAGTGAAGTCTTGTCCCTGCACCCCTGGACATCCTTTTTCAGCATTGATTGAATAGCCTTACTTCTGCCCTATTAGTTGACAAGATATTATGCAGCTCCATTCTTGTCTAGCAGATGCTTTGGGGAAGAGTGAACCTGGATATTACTGGATGTTTCTTGGCTTGGCTTAGGCCCCAGAAACTCATGGCAGTTAGGGCTTGGGGGCTAAAGGAAAGGATTATAGTACAAGGAGATGTTTAAAGTTCTGAATCTGATCCATCCCCAGGCTAAGGTGTGTACTGCTTTAAATAGAAAGTATTGTTGAATTGGAAAGTTAGCTCTACCTTTTTGCTTCTAGCTTTCCATTTATTGCTCATGTCTATATGCTGAGGAAAGCTTGCTGGCTTCAAAGGTATACTCAGCATGACAGAAAAAGTCTTTCAAAGCAGCAAGATTGTGGAGGAAGGAGCTGGGAAGATAGAGTTGCTGGGGAATAAGGCGCATTTAGAAATCCTCCACTTATGCATCACACCTGCTTTTTCCAGGACACCATAGCAAGGATTTTTAGGCTTTTGTGGTTTCCCTGCAGGAACAGACTGTTCATAGACAAGTCTTCAACAACAGTGTCACCACCATCTTATCAATGTCTTTTTGGGCAAAGTAATGTTGAGAGTCCTTTCTAGGATGTAAGCCCTTAGGCTCTCATCCCCATCTTCCAGAGGCAGGGAGATTTCCTCTTAAAATGGGGGTAGGGAGTTTGCCTAGCTGGTGTGAGGCACTGGGTTTCATCCTCAGCACCACATAAAAATAAATAAAAGTTAGATTCTTACCAGAAGGAGGGGGAAGAAGGTGGGGGGGGGTAGAAGCTCCCAACCAGTTCCCCCCTCCCCAGCAATGGGGATCAAATTTGGGTGCTTTAACCCTGAGGTATGTTTCCCAGCACTTTTCATTTTTTTTTATTTTGAGATTTCAAACTGACCTTGAACTTGTGAACCTCCTGTGTCATCCTTCCCAGTAGCTGGGATTATAGGCGTGCTCTCCTGTGTCTGTCTCTGACCAGGTTTTTAGAAAATGTCTATGAGCTGCTAATGGGAGTGAGCTGCAAAAAAAAAAGTCTTGATTACTTAGAAGTATTTGTTTAAACAGTATCTGTTATGTAACTGCATCTTCATAGCAATCAAATAGTTTATCAATTACCTTTAATCACATTACAATGTTCTGATTAAATTGGTACAGATCAGGAAACCATTTCACATGACAGGAAGTCCTTATTTAAGTCCTCAAAGGTTGGTTAACAAAGTGAGTAATTAACACCATATAGCCAGATTGCAGTCTTTTGCTCTGCTACCTTTTGTGTCGATTTATCCTCATACTTGTGGTCCCAAGATGGCTACTATAATTCCAAAAAGGAAATACTAGCCAAACAGTGTCTACCAGAAGAGGGACAAACTGTCACCAGTGTCGCATTTCCAAAGCAAGAAAAATCTTTCACAGGAATGTCTAGCAGATCAGTCTCCTGTCTTTATTTACTAGAAATCACTCATCATCTTACTCCTATTCTGTCATTGGCAAAGCAAATAAGATCATCCTTCATGAGTAGCTTAAAGTAATCAGGAGTTACCCTTTGAATCATGTGGAAGGCTAGGAAGACTAATCGTGTCTACTAGAAAGAAAGAAGGGCTAAGGTTATTAGGCATCAAGGAGCATCTGCTTTTTATGTTACTCTGCCTTTTATAGGTGAGGAACTTGAATCTCTTGAGTGACTTTCTCAAAGTTCATTCACATTGAGTAGAAGAGGGCCTTCAGCTTTAGCTGTCTGTCCTTAAAGCTGTGTTTTATTGTATGTTTGCTGAAGTACAAAGTTGCTTTCTTTCTGCCTTGCAGAAAATGCTGGTGGATGCTATCTTTATACAGTGATATTTCTTATCAAACACAGGAAGCCTAGGAGTATGAAAGTGCTGAGTGGAGTAAAATAATAGAGGCAGCAAGGAAGGAGATGGGCTTGCTGGACTTGGGACCTTAACGATTGTTAAAGTAGGCAGCTGGGCACACTCTCTCCTCTGCACTGGGTAGCTGATGACCACATTTTCTCACATGCTTATTTGCTATCCTGATCTCTTTGTTAAAATTATTCTCATCTTTTACCCTTTAAAAAATTGGGTTGTTTGTCTTATTTTTTTTTTAAAGAGAGAGAGAGAGAATTTTTTTTTTAATATTTATTTTTTAGTTTTCAGCGGACACAACATCTTTGTTGGTATGTGGTGCTGAGGATCGAACCCGGGCCGCACGCATGCCAGGCGAGCGCGCTACCGCTTGAGCCACATCCCTAGCCCCTGTTTGTCTTATTTAGCTGTATTCTAGATAACTTTTTGTTGTTGGATATATGTTTGCAAATATTTTCTCCCAATATATGGCTTGCCTTTTCATTTTGAAGAGCTGAAGTTTTCACTTTTCATGTCTAGTTTATTAATTTAAAGCTCAGTTTATTGCCTTTTAAAAGTTTTCTGGTTTGTGCTTTTTGTATCATATTGTAAGAAATTTTTGCATTGGGTGACTGCAGAGGCACTCAACATTCAGAGGGCATTGACTTCTCTGCACCTGAGATTTTTTGTATCATTTTATAGTTTTTCCTTCTTAGAACACATCAGAACCATAAGAATAGACCAGAATTTTAGCTTGCTTCCTGAGCTCTATCCTTGAAGCCCATTCATTTACTCATCCACCCAACCAACAAATATTTACTAAATGCTGTTGTGTGCCAGACACTGGCACTGTTTTAGGCACTGAGGCAATGGCAGTTAAGAAGAAATTCAAAGATCTTTCTCTGTTCCCTTATGAGCAGACTCAGTTGAGAATGACTTATCCAAAATCAGGGCATAGTGCTGGGGGAGAAACTGTTGAGCTTTGCCTTTGGCAGGCTGATCCAAACCTTTTTGTCTTCCCACTTCATGATAATTCATGAGCCTTTCACATGGACTTACTCTGAAGAGGTGGGATTCTGGAAAGCAGAAGTAGCCTAGGCATCAGAGACATTTATTGAATTGAATCAGAATTAAAATTCTGCCCCATCAATGTCCAAAAAAAAAGGACAAGTACCCCACTTTGAGAGTTCATCACCATGTCTTTTCTGGGAGAAGGTAAATAAGGCAGCATTCATTTAGAGATCTATATGAATCAGGAGTTAAGGGTGTGATAGGCCCTTGCACAAGAGTTGGTGTTTACCCTGTTAGATTCTGCTACCAAGATTTGGATTTTGTACAGCCAAGGACTGAAAATGACTTTCAAAATGTGGTGTTTCATGTGATGACATTTAATTTGATATTTTATAATTGGGGAGCGTATTTTCAGTCTCAGGGATAGGGATGTGAAGGAAGAAGAAAGTGAAACAATCCAAGTCAGATGTGGTTTAGAGTCCCCTCCAATTATTAAGCATTTATTATAGATAGGTGAACCTATTAAGAGCTTTAGGATTGTAACTATATAGTGAATTCTTTTGTTATTCATTAACCTTGAAGGAGGGGTTTCTCTGCTTTATGTACATTCCCTAACCTTATGACTTCGAAAAGGACATGCTGTTCTTTCAATTTTTCAGGTGAGAAAACTGAAGCCCAAAGAATCAAGTGACTAATCCCAAATCCCACTCTGTGTGTGTGCACGCGCATAATTAGGATGATTTTTTTTCTTTTTTTTCCTTTTTGAGAAATAATTTTGATTTTTTAAAATAAGCTTAAACAGGGCTGGGTTGTGGCTCAGCGGTAGAGCGCTCGCCTAGCATGCGCGAGGCCCTGAGTTCAATCCTCAGCACCACATAAAAATAAATAAAGGTATTGTGTTCAACGACTACTCAAATATATATAATATATATATTTTTAAAGCTTAAACAGTACTGATAACTTAGGGACACAGGAAAAAAACATTAAGCATTTTGCTCAGCCTGCAAAGGATCAGGTATCACTAGGGCAACAGATATTTTTTTAAGGGTCTGTTATTTGCCTGATCTGCTGGACCTAGTTTATTTACAAAGCTTACATTGTACTAGGTAGGGGGATATACAATGGAGTAGTCAGTCAACTGAACAAGCTACAGACTTGGGGGAAAGGGTTACCGAGGAGGAAATATAATAGCAGGGATGCACCCCCCCCCCCCCCCGTAGGATATAGGTCCAGAAAAGGCTCTTTTGAGATGGCTTACAAGGGGCTGGACTTCGGTGGTGAGTAAGGGGAGGGAGGGGAGAAGGGGCTTTCTGGTCTTGGGAGCCAAAAGCAGAGGCTCTGAGTCTGCAAAGTGAAGCCCTTGGCCCGCTGGAGGAATTGGAAGCCGACCAGTCACGAGGAGGAGAAAGGCAAGGGACCCCTTTATGCCAGGCATTTTCACCCTGGAAAGGAGTTTGATTTTTTCAGTGTAAGGAGCCGCTATTAAAGAGTTTGAAATGTGGAAATCATTCCATCTGATGTTTGCATAAAGTCATGTTTCCTAATCATCTGTCTTCACCCGATACTGTGCACTACTTCCCCGTGTTGCTAAAGCAACACTGTGGAACTGGAGAGACCGCTCGCTGCGGTCACTCCACAGCCCGAGAAGCGGCCCACCCGGGGCAGGCTTGGCTCCCGGCCTCGGCTGCAGGTAGGCTGCCGCTCAGGTAGGCTCCGACAGCCGCGATGTCGCAGTGGGTGAGCGGCACCCCCGCCCTGATGGCGCTGGAAGGCCGGCCCTTCGGGGCTGTCTCCGGCCGGCACCGCTGCGCGCGCCCGCGGCCCCACCCGGCTCGGCGCCGGCTCCCTGACACCTCCCCGGCGTCCTCCGCGCCGGCCGCGCCCGCACCGACGTCGCTCCCGAACGGCTCGGGTCCCGGAGGCGAGGCGCTGACGCCCGGCGAGCGGGACGGCGGAACTGACGCCGGCGGGCTTCCGGGGGGCGGCTCCGGGGAGCGCGGCGGCGGTAGTGGGGAGCAGCGGGAGCGTCTGGGGCCGCCGGCAACGCAAGTTCCGGACAGGGTCCCCTCTCCTCGCCTCACGCCTCTCCTTTCTCTCGCCTGATCCCGGGCTGTCTCCCGACCGCGGCCCTTCCGGCCGAGCGCCTTCGGAGTGCGGTAGCGGAGGGGAAGCCATCCTCGTCCCCAGCCTCGGGGCCGAGTGAAGTGCCTGTCGCGCCGCGTCGCCCCCTCGCCGCCTCCTCGCCCCTGTGGCGGGCGCCGTTCTCGCCCCAAGCACTCCCCCCAGCTCCATGAATGGAAATCGGCTCCGCAGGTGAGTCAGAGGTGTGGGGCCGAGTAAGTGCGGGTGTCACCCCGATGTTGTCCCCAAGCGTCGTCGCTCCTTTCGCCCCAGGTGCGCGTCGTGCGGGCGTCGCTGGTCTTGCGGCCCCACCGCAGCTCCCCAGGGACCACAGAGTTGGCGACGTTGCCAGGAGGGCTTAAGTTTGGGATTATCTGAGCGACGTTACTTTTATTTTATTTTTTTCCTCCTTCCCGAGAGTGGTTTTTTTCCTGAGAACCTGGTATGGTTTGCCGTAGCTTTCGTTATTCCAGTTGAAGGTGTAACGATGTGCGTGTCCTTTAACCGAATTGTGTGCCGCGACCTGCCTTCTCTCTTACCTACCTCGTAAGCTGCTGGTGAAGACTCTGCGATAGCGGATGAGATTAAGTTTGAAATAGGTATCAGTGCGACTTGAGATGCAAAATGGCATTGCGTTCATCTCCGACATCTCTTCCGATCTCTGTGGTAGCATGGTGTGTGTAGTTTCCGAGGAGCTTGGAAATGTCATATCAGCCTAGGTCTCTGCTTGTAACGGGAAGGTGGATCTTAAAATTACTGACAGTAGTTTTTCTTCTTCTTTCCATTCTCTATCCCGGAGAACCAGTTGTCATAGTTCTGGAAATTTGGAATTTAGGAAAACTGCTCTTTGGGGAGAGGGGTAATGACATTCTTGAGGAAAAATGGCAACATGGGCAATAATGCCCTTTGGAAAAAGGAAAAAATACTGTTTATGGTCCTAAAAAAATTAAGGCACATAAAACAGGCATTACATAACAGTTTCTTACCAAATGATCATGCTTGTATGTCAACTTTGAAAGTACAATTCATCCAAACGATCATTAATTTACACTTTTAACTTTTCAAAATATGAGAGGAGGGGTGATTTGTCACTGATATTACAAGTCCAAGAATTTCACATTTCTTTTTTGCCAATTTGAGATATATCTCAATACAAGAAAAACTTTAAATAAAAGAAAAACCAGTGACATAAAAAAGCTTTGTTGAACAAGTTAGAAAATATAATTGTCAAGTGGATACAAAAGGGCACTCAGAAATTATGAATGTGGATTTTTTTTATGAGTTTTATTACAAGGAATTTTCTATACCCAATTTCAACCATTTCTCTTTTTCTTGCTCCAGTTTTTGCCTTCTGCATATCTTCTTAGAAACAAGTTAGTCGAGACTATGAAGAGTATTAAACTTTCCTTTTTTATTGATTTGTGTATTTACAGAACTGCCCTGTCTTTTCCTTTATTTTTCAGTACTAGGTGAGGCAGGGTAGGAATGAGGATTATACCCAGGGACACTCTACCACTGAGCTACATCTCTGTCCTTTTTAGTTTTTATTTTGAGAAAGGGACTCCCCAAGATGCCCCTAAGTTTGTGATTTCTCCTGCCTCAGCCTCCCAATTCACTGGGATTACAGGCATAAGCCACCATGCCTAGTTGCCTCTTTTTTTTTTTTTTTTTAATCCTTCCATACTCTTTGTTTTTCGTGTACTGGAAATGTGATGATTTGGAGCTACTGGCAATTTTTACTTAACTGTCCTGTTGTCAAGCCTGAGAAACTAACATTTTACTAATCATGCTAAAACTTTTGAGGATATTTCAAAGGTTTTTCTCTTTTTATCCTTTGGATTTTCATAGTAACATATGCCCAAACATGTGAGCAATAACGTAGAAAATACTTCTGAGCTGGTTGCAGTAGCACATGCCTGTAATCTCAGCTACTCTGTCAGCTTAGGCAGGAGGATTGCAAGCTTCAGCTTCAGCAATATAGCATGACCCTGTCTCAAAAGAAAACTTTTATTGAAGGGCTGGGAGTGCAGCTTAGTAATAGAGCTCTTGCCTCACTTGCCTGAGGGCCTGGGTTCAATCCCCAGTACTGCGCACAAAGCAAATGAAAATTTATGACATGAAACCACCTTGTCAACTAGCACAACTAGCTAAATATGGCCAGAAAATGAGTTTTACATTTCTTTTTAGAGGTTCTGTTGCTGAAATATATATCTATTTACTTGTCTTCACATTGGGGGAACTATAGTTAGATTTATTGACCACACACTTGGCTGTTTTAAATTGTAAAGTTCTTACTTCAGTGCATTTAGTGTGTTAGTGTGATTGACTTTAGTCTAATAACAAAGATAAGCTATGGTTTCGTTCAGGATTGTCGCCATTGCAAACAAAATTTTCTTTCTTCTTGAAACTGTATATATATGTACATATATATATATATATATATATATATATATATATAGTGCTATTTATATATAATACTGATTGAAGGTTTGAAAGTGAAGTAAAATGTGCAACTAAAATCTAAATCCAGAATTTTCTCCCCCCCTTCTCTCTTTCTCTCTCTCTCTCTCTCTCTCTCTCTCTTTGTCTCATATATACATACTCTTAAAATTTTTTGATGTTCTTGAATAGTCTTGGGTTAGTATTGAATCTTGGCTCTCTAATTCTGTTAGGTTTTTCATTTGGTTAGAGTCTCAGAAATCATGATGGTTGTTACATGAATAAATAGAAAACTTAAATTTATTTGGTATATTAGAAGACTTCAAATGCTTTGTAATTATTTTTTGGTGAATCATTTCTCACTAAATATTGGTATGTTCTTCTCTTGTCCCCCCCCCCAGTGGTAGATGGACACAATACCTTTATTTTATTTATTTTTATGTGGTGCTGAGGATCCAACCCAGTGCCTCACACATGCCACGTGAGCACTCTACCAATGAGCCACAACCCCATCTTCTCTTTTATGTGAAATATTTTAAATTGTTTTTAAGTTTGCCCTGTACAATCTACTGATTTAATACCATCTGAACTTTGATTTAAGGTTAAAAAATGGCATAGTTTTTAAATAATAATAATTTAGCATCTGTGCTATGACTGCTTACTTAGGGAAACTTTTGATGAAACCCTGTTTTTGATTGTATGATTACAGCTAAACTAAGACTGTAGGTTATGTTTTATATTCATATAAAATGGGAATAGGAACAGCCGAAATATTTGTTTATTTTGCAGTACTGGAGATCAAACCCAGGGCCTCACTCAAGGAGCTATGTCCCCAGCCTAGAAATGTTCTTTTAGATGCTACTTCTCCTGAAGACCTATTTTTTAGAACTGTACTACTCTAGTATGTATTTTTTAGGTACTCAAACTATTGCTCAGGAAGAATTTATACTCAATAATGGAAGGAAAACATTTACCATAAATTAGTGATATACAAATCAGTTTAACATGCTTAATAGTTTTATACAATATTACAAAAGTGAATAGACTGTTTCTTTCGTAAACTTTTAAATTTATTTGTGAATATAGTTGTCTTGGAAATTTTTTAAAAGTCATTTGGGATTAAGTTTCAAAGGAGCCAAAGTTACATGAATAGAAGCTAAAAGTATACCAAGAATGAGGATTACATGAGAATGATAAAAGCTGTGGAATCAGAATACCAAAACAAATAACATTATCAGGTTCTCAGTATAGTATTTAGTATTTTTGTTTGTTTTGCAGGATTGAACCTGGGACCTATGCATGCTGGGCAAGCTCTCTACCACTAAGCCACATCCCTAACCCCTTAGCTTAGTACTTAAAACAATCTATCACTTTGGAAGTCTTTTTGCTTGAAGGAAAAAATGTCAAATTGCTGTTCTGTTTGGTGGGCATGAATTTTGAAAGCAGTAAAGGTTTTTCTACTGGGTTTTCGATTATGGTGTCCTACAGTGGCCATTGTAATTTTTTTCCTTTGGTATATGTTTAGAAGTGGAACATACAGAAATGTGCAAAATTATTTTGATTTTTATTTTAGAATTTAATTTCTGTCAGTGATGGTATGTTCTGAGGGAAAGCTGAAAAGGAGATAAGAAACTTTTTTTTTTTTCTTTCAAACAAAGACCTTAAAGAAAAGGAAAAAATAATATATAAAATTTGGTTAACATGAAGGCATTTTAAAAATGTCCAATGAGCCAGTCACCCTGCTAGAACCATTTTTAAACCAAATTCCAAATTAATCTAATATTTCC